TGTTGATGATGTTTTGGTTTTAACAGATTTTCAAGGGTCGTTAATATATAATAGTTGAACAATCATCACAAACCTTGATAATAATCAGAAATCACTTAAATAAAATGAAACACTATTTAGAATTCTTTTTTGTTTGGTCTCTTCAAACTATTCATTTATATAATATCAGTGATTGAAATGCGAACTCACAATGTAATCAATAACATGACTAAAGTCTATGACAGACGTTTGTATAATTACGAACGACAGAAAAAAGTTATATTTCTAGCATCTCAGTTTTGAAAAAACAATGGTATTACACTAGTTTAATCTTAAAAACTGAGGAATATGACAAATTTATCCTGATTTATTATACTGTAGCTTACTTGGAAAAGAAACATCAATGCAAACCATTATACTGAAGTGAAATTTAATCACTTTTGCAAGTAAATATCATTAAAAGTACATTATTGGTGGATAGATTGACTCTGCATTTTTTTTTGTTAACCCCTTGTGATCATGTGATTATTACTTATTTATTTGTTTACGAATATTAGTAATTGATTCAAATAAGTAGTAATATGACCACACATACACTTATCTTCATATCTGTACGATTATGTTACGCGTTATGTTCGTAAATGTATTTGGTGCAAAATTATTTAAGAGATATTGAAACAAAGCATATATACAACTAAAACTATTCAAATTATAGACAGTGAAAACATGAACGTTTAAAACAAATTTTTTTATTGAACCAGGCTATACCGGTATTCATCTTAAAACAGGAACATTTAGAACAAAACCCTTAATTTTAAATAGTGTTTCGTAGACTACCTGACAAGAAAAATGTTTCTGTTAGAACTTGCCCGATTCTCTAGGTCAATCATTTTTATGAGTGTACTGATAGTGTAACAACTATTCCTGTTGTCAATTTGTTTGAAATAAGCAGTAATAATTTTGCGAACCAAGTCAATGCCTACGATTTCTTATATATATAAAAAAGGGAGTTTTCATAATATTTTCAAAAAAATTATCCTAGAAGAAGAATTTTATTCGTTAATAAATTCTCTTGGAAAAAAATTCTCAAAGATTTTACAACTATGAGAATGAAGCTTAATTGTATCCTGATGTTATTATCCATAAATTTTATTGCGAGAATTTTCCATTATGTCTATTACCAATATGAATATGTATTCTCGAAATTCCATTGAGTATTGTTATTTTGCTAGCTATGAATTCATAACCCAAGCGGTGAATTAAGAGAGTGAATAATGGTTTGTTAGAGCATTCTTATCATAAAACGAAATGAGTTTCTTTATCTTAACTATACATGGCTTACAGATGAAGGGAGAATAAATAGATCAATCTTCAACTAAATCACTTTAATGCAGCACCTATATATATATATATATATATATATATATAGCCATTTAAAATATATATGTGAATGCTTTTCCTGTGAAACAATTATTTAATAATAATGACTGGTAAGAGTTTGTTACCTTTCATATGTTGTTATCTAGACTCAGTAGTCTAATGGATAAGGAGTTGGCATTTCAAGCGATAACCATTGTGTGTTTGAGTCGCAGTACGAATAACAGCACTGTTATGTAGGAAATCTAGTTTATAAGTCTCACATAAATTATAAATGGATTCCACTGTTTGCCATAATCCAGTTGCATCAAAAGTTTGTAAAGTAAATCTTAACTAAAATTTAAATCACTTGCCTTGAGTGAATACATGAATAGTAAGAGAAATATTGGCGTAATGCCTGAATAACCCTGCAGAAAGAAAAATCCGTCGTAAATATTCAAAGAACATGACCAAATACAACCCAAATTATTTAGGTGTTCACCATTGGTTATCATCGAGCTATGAATTAGTGTTACTGTTAACATGACAATCAGTAAGAACGATTGATTGCATGCTATCTTGTGTGTAATAAAATTAAGTGACTATATTTAGTGATTAGAGGATAGGTCATAATTTATGACATCATCAACTATAAAAAGCACATAAGAATCGTTATTAGTAGGAGGGATACTTTAATAAAAACTGTGTACAATCACTAATTACAATTATCGTAATGAAACTAACAATAACAATAATTCACACTTGTATGAAAATTAGAAAAAGCAAACAATATGAGTGGGTTGGTTGATAAAAAAGAGTTTGAATGGTTTTAGAATAATTATTAGAATAATAAAATGAAAAAATCATGATAACTACGATTTAAATAAGAGAGAATGGGACTAGAATGGTCGATGAATGAGTTCTATAGTTAGAAAAAAGAAAAGTAGAGTGGTAGACAGAGAATTCCCATAAATATCTAAAACGTATAATACCATAGCTATGCTATGTCATTTACAAGATAAACAACAACGAAATATGTACTTTGCATATTAAATAACATGAACCATTCTTCATCTTATGTTTACATGAATGAATCTAGTTTACATTTCATGAATCAAAATCTGGAAGTAATTTTATACCAGTTTGTCTGAATGAAGTTTATTTTCAAAAAACCAAATTTCATTATCAGTAATAATGAAATCTAATCTTAATCTAAAAAGAAATTATATAGTTGATAAAACTGTGCGAACTCCATCAATTGCAACTTAGTGGAATTTTGAGAATCTGTTTCTTAGCAAATATTGAAGACATTTTTAGTGTTTGACTGGAAGGTTTTTTTCATTAGCTGACGTTATTTGAATTGTCTGAAGTTGGAGATTTGGAGAAAATATTATATCTACTTAGATACTGAAATCGATCTGTGAGCACATTATGGCTATTCACTCTAAATGTGCTTCAAGTAACGATGAAGCATCAGTCTTTCACTTCATGATATTCAACAGTTGTTTTAATTTAGATGGATCCATAATCAAAATCAGACTCCAAATAAACTTGTCTCAAAAGTAAATTAGATCTATCAGTGAACTACTTTTTTTCTGTAACTTTAAAATCAAGAGAAAAACCTACAGAGAATTTCGAAGTCGTATCGTGAGTGCTAGTGGGATCCTTGAAACGCATATCCTCTTATTTAGGACTTATAACACATATATACTCAAACCTCAGTTTTGATGTCCTCATTGAGACGGGCACTAGGTCCTATCGCTTCAATCACCGTGATAAACTTGTCTGCTTAATTCATATGGCCACTGTTATACCTAGTAGATTTGAAATATAAGTAAGCAGTGAAACTATTATCAAAATTAAGGTACATCTAGCTGAAAATTCCTTAAATAGTACATAACCTATAGGCTAGGTCTCGCTTTTAGACATAATTCAGCTTTAAAAAAACTTTTAATAAAAAAAATATCGTCTAGTCGGTGTGCTGAAAAAGAATAACTTCCAACAGAAACTCCATCCGTTATACAAAAAGAAAAGAGAAGCAGGAAAACATGGATGGATACTGATAAATATGAGAAAAAAATGTTTTAAACTTTTGCTAACTTTACATAGACAGTATAGTCTAGTCTGTAATTGCTTTCAAGTTTGACATTATTACCTCACACGTTATTAAACCGAAACAGCTTGTTGAGAGTGTAATAATATAAAGTGGTGTTTTCTACTGGTAAATAAATCATATGTATAACACGAAACTGATAAATCGTATGAGGTAAATCAGTCTGTTCAACACTGTATGCTTCGATTAAGTCGTTTCTTTTTTTTTGTAAAAAATTGCTTGTTAATGTTACTTATTCAGTTATCCATACGGTAAAATCACTTTCTTGGAAAAAAAGGCGAGTAGGAAATACTAAAATAACGAACAACAATATTTTTATTTATACTTTATGTTAAATTTTTAGTTTGTTGTTTTTTTCATGCAACTTTACGCGAAAATATATTTATGTGTATTCGTTTACAAACATTCATTTTTTTAAAAAAGTCGACTGTAATTTTGAGGTAGCATATATTATAAACCGATTGACTAAAGTTAAACATTTGAGAATTTAGAAAATAGAAGAGAAATATTCAGGAAGCTGTAGTGATGAGCACTTGCAACTTCTAAGACCATCAAAACTCTTCATGAGTGCATTGCATGCATACTGTGAGTTTTTGGATCATGAACTTTAGTCAATTCATAATAATCGTTTAGCGTAATAACAAACACTAAAATAACTTGGTAAAAATACACATAATCCTTATCTTTTCGTTTAACAGTTTGTCTGGTTCGAAGCATAAAGTTGTTATCTGAAATCGATATGGTTAATCGTGTTATGTAATATACATACAGTTATACCCAACTACTATTATACAGATAAGAGAATCGTTATCATCGTTTAAAACTGTGATATATGTGTGTTTATTGTGATCAGTTTTTTTTATTTACGTGCAGATTACAATTAAAATACACTAAATAATAAGGAAATTTGTTAACTCATAAAGTTGTACTAAAATGAAAAACAGCATGGTTCACTGTAGTATAGTTATAAGAATGATTTAGTAACTGATAATTATTCAAACATGTAGCCCAATGTCATTTGTCTTTACTTATTAATTTTAATTTTCAAAAGTTGTCCACTAATGCTTGGGATTATATTTTTGCACTAGTTACAACTAAACAAAATTATTTAATTCTATGACAAAAGACAAATAAATAACCATGCATAAACTGATGTGCTGATAAGAAACTAGACATTTTTCTTATCTTATTAAACATATATAGACTGAATTATATACTGCAGTAGTTTAATTGAATGAGAAAAATTTAATCATTTACTTCAAAAAATGAATTTTACGAAAATTTTCTCAGTACATAGGGGTGTCAAACAAAAATAGAAAAACTTTTGGCTAGTTTGGAAGGTGTTGACAATTCATCCTCGAGTCAACATTATCGACAAAGCGCTCGGACTTGTAACCACCATCTTTAGAGCAATAAATTTTGAACACTCATTCAGAATCCAAAATGAACTGAATTTCAAAAACTTTACCCAATGAGCTATAATGATCTTTTTGTCTAGTCATTTGTAAAGTATTAATGTAACTATTTTATTGACAGATTTCTTACAATGTTTATGACAACTGGAAGTGGAGTGAATTTAAGAACACTTCGAGCTGTACGTGTACTACGTCCTCTCAAACTAGTGTCAGGTGTACCAAGTAAGTTATAAGCATTATATATATATATATATATATATATATATATATATATATATATATATATATATATATATATATATGTCAGATAAAGTTCACGCATGTTATGATCGTTGTGACACACATGTACTGAAATGAACTAGACTTTATTCCAGTGTAAGAAAAGTTTCTAGTGGAATGTACATGATAGTCTACAGTTTAAACAAAAGTTTTTTTTACAACTGAAATTTTATTTGGTTATTTTTTAAAATTAATTTTGGTTCATTGAAATCAAAATGGTGTGAGAAAATATCAACGAAAAATCCCTTATTCAGTTGGAGTCATTTAACATTATGTTCAGCTACCGAATACTAGGGAATATTGAGTAGTTATACAGTAATAATGTAAAATTCTCTCGGAAGTATACAAATAAGGAAAACAAGTTAAGATTCGTTAAAACTGTTTCTCAGTCAATGAGGTAAATGTCACCGGTAATGTCGGCCAATACACAATGACATAACCAAAGTTTGATGCGTATATAAATTAAAAGCAGTTTTTCCTCCTATCATCTCGGGTACCTTGCTTTTTATGTTATACAATTTCCAGTGAACATTCGTAACCGTATTTAACAAAATTCAGTTAAATTTTTCTCACTGAATAGATATCATACCATATAAAAGCTGTAAACAAGTATTTAAAGTGAAGAACATTAGAAAATTTTAGCTTCACTTCAAACGAACATTAATCTAGCAATGCTAATTTTTTGAATAATTTATTTTTTTTACATAAAGCTGCTGTTAACTCTTAAAAAATCAATTTGGTACGTAGACAGCAAAGGAAAAACTGGCTTGAAAATACTTCATTATTAGCCTTAATATGAACAAGGTATTCAAACAAATGTATTACCTCTCTCGTTTCATCCTAGACTATGTTCATTGTGAACATCTCTATGATTGTGGCGTCACCCTCATCGAAAATGAATTAAGATAACTGAAATGATGGTTTAGAAATCACTTTATATTTGTCGTATGGTCTTTAGATCATTTCGATTGAAAATTCATTCTCCATTAGTTTTGAAGAAATGTTTTTTTATCAGAGTTAGACATTAACACTGTTGGATGTCAACCCAGTGATCCAGAGGTTAGGTGTTAGCTTGCAAGACCGAAGTGCCTGGGTTTGAATCCCGCGAAGTACAGGAGTCGTGGATGCGCACTGCTGATGTGTCCCATACCCGGACGAAACGGCCGTCGAGTGATTCCACGTTTGTAATAGTGGTGATGATTTCAAATGTGTAAAATCACTGATCTCCATAACTCTAAATGGAGGGAAAAAATCGTTTGACGTGCTTACGAGTGACTAGCTTCGTGAGGAAATTCTCGTAGTTCTAGTGAGAAGAAATGACCTGTGGAGTCGAAGCCTATCGACTGTACGTAGAAACTAACAAAGACAAATGGGTCAGGTTGTGCAAAATCCCTTGATTGTTCACAGTCAATAATTAACACAGTTCTAGAATATAATAGTGCTGAAGAATGGTTACTGAATGAATTCATGCATAATGGTAATGAATAAAGTGCACGTTAATGCAATAACTTATAACTGAAAATATAGCTAAGAAATGAGTAGATAACAGTTAGTTAATTTTTGTAGTTAGATATGACTAATTAACTCTACTAGACTCAATTACTTAATACATCTTAATTTCCATTAGGAAAGAAAACATTAAAATGTACTATTCACTATATCATAAAACATTTAACCTGACAAATTTGTACCTGTTTGAATTTAATTTTCATTCAATAAATGTTTTACATATTTTCATTGAAAAATTATTATCAATTTGTTTTTCTTTCATAGGTCTTCAAGTAGTTTTAACATCAATCATTAAAGCAATGGCACCATTATTACAAATTGGAATCCTAGTATTATTTGCCATATTAATATTTGCAATTGTTGGATTGGAATTTTATTCTGGTGTCTTTCATGTAACATGCTTTGAACAAAGTAAAGTTTTATTAGAATTTTTACTATGCATGTATTATAATTACTAAGAATTTTCACAACTCATCAGTGTAATCATAAATTTTTTCTGTATTTGAAGTGTCTACTGAACAGTTACATAGATTAATTGATAAAATTACTAGGATAAGAACTAACTTACAAACCTACATCAAATAGATGAGCATTGAATATGGAGTGAGTAATAGTTAGTGAGTTTATTTTAGCATCAGACTTCTTAAGAAATTCACGTTTACAACACTACACAACAGTATACCGGAAATTCACGTGTCGAGTGATAATTATAACGCCCATCATACATTCGTTAGTTCATTCAATATGGAATGGTGTATTATCCTCATTGTAAACGGATTACTTTTAACCGTTTGAGTAAATATATTTAATCATAGTACATAGAAAGATTATGTTTCTGCGATTTAGAGAATGAAGTTTGTTTAGTTAATGATGGCAATGACTTCCGTGTAATAAGGCTTAATATAAATAATAACAATTTAAGTCTAGAATCTAGTGAACACTTGAAAAGTGAATGGTCAACTAACATTTTGACCCGACTTTCCGAAAGCACTACACTGCTAGAATCATAATTCAAAGTGCTAAAATACATAATATATCTTCTAAAGTATTTGTACTGATGATGTTGACTACAATTACAACTAAAGTTTAAAAACGAAGTAGTCATCTCAAATAAACACAACTATGCCAAAAACATGAATCTTGTACTCAAGAACATAATTTAATACAGTTGAATTCAGTCATTCACACACATATTTTCTTTATTAAAATAATTACAGCTTAACAAACATTTTTCCGTTACTAAACGACTACCAAGGTCGTATTGTCAATAGTCTTACCTTGATACTAAATTTAACTTGACTTATCTAGGCACTTCATACTGTAGACTCGTCTGCATGAAAACGATTTCACAAAACCTAATGAAATAATGGACAGTTGTTTAGTGCCAGTGTAAACATCGTTGTTCAAAAATTCACAAACTGAAACTATCTACAAATTTGTACAACCTTTAAAAATTATCTTATGATAAAAAAAAGATGACGGTTGAATTAAACGTACATTGAATAAATTTTCAAAAAATACATCATAATATTTCAACAAAAAAAACACAATAACAATAATTCAAAAAAACAGATATGAAAAGAATAAGATATTTCCTGAAATTAAATGAACTGACATTGTAGTACAACAGTGCATTAATTTCAATACAAACTGATTTATTAGCTATTTTATATCTACAAAAAAAAAGTTCAGGAAATCTATGATTTTTTTCCACGATGATAGTAAAAAGAAATTGATTGGTGTATCTGTGTTTCCAGTGGTATAGTGTTTCAGATTGCAGACAGAATTGTCTCCACTACAGATAGATAAGTTTTTATAAAATATAAATTCATTGATATCAACAAACTTACAATTAAAGCAGTTGTTTGCAAAATAAATTTTCAGAATTAAAACAGACAGAGATTTTAAATGGTCATGTCAAACAGATTCTTTATTTTTCGTGATAGTTAAAAATTTTAGCCAGTCATCGAAATAAATTTTTACTTCACTGTAAACCAATCGACGTTTTGGATTATTGAATATTTCAACATAATATATACATACTTCCATCATCAGAATAGATGAATATGCATTTATTTTATTCCTGACAATTCACAAATAATAATATTTTATTATGACTAACCATAAAAAGTATGATGTGAGTTCGTGGTATTAAGCGGGAGGGAGAATTACAGTTAGAAAGATCCATATATAAGATGTCTTAACTAGAATCAATATTTTTTCACGTGTCGCCTACATCGATTTTACTAATTTCTTTGGTAAATAATCCAAGAGAAGAAATGTAACCATGGTCTATAAAAAATTCATTTATTTTTGCCATCTTATTGTACTGACGAAGAAGTTATGACGATTCATGATGTGTTTCTCTATAATTATCAAAATATTGATGTTGACAATGCTTGAGAACTAACGTTAACAATTCACTACTAGTCTGTTTTAAGATAGGGATCTTTTTAGTACACTAGCTGTAACAAATACTCGATCGACTGTTGTGTTAAATTCTAACGTTATTTTATTCGATGACAGCTTTACCAATAAACAGTTCTCAGCTGGAATGCTATTGAAAAATAGAGTTTTACTGCGCTGTTTTCTTTTTATTTAATATAACTGGAGAGTTTTTATCACATAAGATTAGGTCTACAACCATTACATTCTAATCCTTTTATAATCACTTAGACTAAATCTAGTGCCCCAGGCTTTCAATTTCGAAAATTCCCTCTGTTGAGTTCTACATGCGATATCATGTTATTACCAGTGGCTAGGTTCTAAATAATTCTGTTTGTTTGAGAGAGACACTGTGACCACTGAGACTCAAACAAGTGGAGGAAAAGACAAATGACAACCGTCTTCTGGTTTTTAATGCTCCTATAAGCAGTGACATTATGTGAAAAAAACTAACCTTATTGTATTTTAGTTGAACAAAAAGTCAAAAAGAAAATTATCTTACCTCTGACTTTTATCTTCGTAAGGAATTCCATTGAGAAAAGAAAGTTATGCAGACTACAATCAAGAACATTTAAAAAACCGGAATGTATAATGATTTCTTAGATAGAAAATTTCGAAACCTTATGAAATAACTTTCAGTATTTAGGTATCGATCTAACAAGTTTCTCAACTTATGATAGGATTCGTTGACCATGCTGCTGATCAATTGAAATTGTAAGTATAACCATTTGATACAATCTCAATAAATTATTACCTGGATGTTTTTCGCGCGGCCTAAGAATTGTGGGTTCAATCAGCAGTAGGTCTTGGATGTCTAACGTTAGTAAATCCAGTACGGAGAGGACACAGCTATCTTGATTTTCGATGATACCTCAAATGAGATCAATTCATAAGGAATACTCATCACAAGTTTTGTAAATTATTTCCTTCATCTAATGTTATTTAACTGAACTATGCGATGCTTATTCTTTATGAGTCTATTTTTGTGTTAGCGGCTTTTCACAACAGCATATGTGTAAGCATTATAATTTACTCTAATTTTCAAAAACTAAACCTCTTTTGTATTTTTATTGTTTCACAAGACAATCCAACGGAATTGCCAAGTTTCATACCAGATGCACCTGGTTTAGTACCATGTCAACCGGTAGACACGCACACTCGACCACCAGGAGCATTTATTTGTCCAAGTGGTTATATATGTAAAGGTTATTGGGAAGGACCAAATTACGGTATAACAAGTTTTGATAATATTGGTTATGCAATGTTAACAGTATTCCAGTGTATTACAATGGAAGGATGGACAGATGTATTATACATGGTAAAGTAGTTTTTTTTTCATACATAGTTAAAACATAGATACATGTTTACTTTACTTTATTAAGTTTCATGAAATAATTTTTCAGTTTAGTTCAATGAACGAGGCAAATATGTTTAGTCAGTACTAATGACTTAATGAATGAACAGTTTTTATTGACAGAGAGACTTTAAGACTGTAGTTTGTTAGACAAGTGTAAATTACTTCCACTGAATATGAATGATGAAATGTCATAAAAATATAGTACTTTTTCCTGTATTTAAAAACGATTTGAATACTGGATAACAAGTCTTCCCTCAGACACTTGTAACCTTTAGGTCTCCAGATACAAAATCACTAAAGTTAGCTCTCATTCATTAATCTTTCTCACTTTCTATTTCCACTGTTCTATATAACTATTATCTTATTTCTAACACTTATTTCTAACACTTTGGTTTTCATCTTGTTAATTAAATCTTTTGTTATATTGGTTTGATTTACATCAGATAGCTAACAGTAGTCTATTTGTACCGGGTCGTATATTTCTAATAACTAACTACGTAGTGTTTTTGTAATTTACTACAAAAATTAGTTTATGTACTGCCAGTTACGTTGGAAAAACAAAGATTGTGTTATGTAAGGGAGTTTTGAGGCCAAGTTCAAATAATTTTACTAAGTACTGGTTAAGGACTACTTATTCAAATGATAGACAGACGCATCATTGATACAGTCTGTGCCTCAGGTTATGTTACAGTAGTTTAAGTAATCAACAATAACAAAAGTATTTGATTATATCATGTGTCCAAGAAAAAAACTCATTCTGTAATTTCAACAACTCTTATGTTTTATTCTTTAACAGACCAATCGAACATATGGTTCACGTTTCAACTGGATTTATTTTATACCATTAATTGTAATTGGAGCATTTCTTTTGATTAATTTAGTACTTGGTGTTTTAAGTGGGTAAGTTGAATATAACATAATTAATCTAAGTACTACCTATACTACAATATTCACTGAACAGTATGGTGATAGGTTAATAGGCCAGCAGGAAATTAAATAATTATTTATAACTTGTGAATGTTGTTGAAAATTGACACATTTGACTAGTAGATTTGAAAATGTTCTTCACCTTAAAAGAATAAGAACTTGTATATTATTTGTATAATGATCACATGTGAATGGCTAAAGTGAAATGAAAATTATCTAATATTTGATACAAATAGATATTATTTTAAAAATACATCACATACGTGATATAACCTGGTGGAAAATGCTTTGGCATTTCGAAGCACAAGTTAGTGAGTTAAATTTTCATTATAAACATGGACACAAGGTTATAAAAATATCCAGCTGACGAGCCCAAAACAAAATGAAATGCATTACCAAAACTCTGTTGCTAGCTGCATTTGTGAAATACACTATAGAAGGCAAAACCTATTAATATCGATAGGTAGCCTATAAGTTAGAGAGATGATCCGTGTAGTAAATTAATTTAAACGTGAGTCTCATTCAAAACAGATAAGTTGCTTGCATAAATAACTGAAGCTGAACTGGTTAGTAATATCTCTGTTACTCAAAACATTAACAAAAGCATCAGTCAAACAAATGAACTTAAGCTTCTAGAGACTTTTAATTACAACGCAGTCAACATTATTATGTTTATCTTGAAATTTTATAGACTTTATTCCCTCTCCACAATCGAACAAAGTGGCTTCCCGAAACAATTCTTTATTTAGTCTTTATGATATTACTACATTTTAGTTTTCGGTCTTGAACTATGAGCAGTGTCTTTAAAACCACATTTTGAAACATGAATGACTCGTCCCTATACTTTGCCATTAATGTGCTGAGTATCGAACTTCAGTATGAAACAAAGATGACATTTTCAGATCACTGAATCACATATGTAATAGTGGGCGCTCCAAATGTTATTTAGTTAGTGACAGAGAAAGATTAGCACTATTTTAATTGCAGTTATGGATACTACTGTTTGTTGCACATTGAAATCATCAATCATTCATTGTTATGCCACCATCAGAAACAGGAAAGCACTGAACAGCCGTTTCGTCCTGGTATGGGACTAATCAGTAGTGCGTATCCACGACTCCTGCACCTCGCGGCATTCGAACCCAGGACCTTCAGTCTTGCGCGTCTTCTCAATAGATTAGCAACTTACCGTTTAACTTGTAGCACAGTCAAACTTAATGAAGTAACTGAGCTATGACATCATACTGAAGTTATGCCATACTGTAATTCGGATAAATTTTGAAATATTAGTCATTAACTTTTGGTTCATTATTATTGATTACATAGTGTTAAATGGAGCCAGACAAAAACATAAAAGTTAACTAAGTTCGTTAAAAAACTAACCTCAGAATCTTCTTACGACTCCAAAAAGAGCACAGATATTTTGTAATAAAAATTTTTGTATATGACTTAAACTTTCTAAACATTAGCAAAATCTGTTAAATGAAGCATTGAAGAAAGGTTTTCAAATATTCAATCGACAATAAACTGATATTTTCATTTAGCACTACAACAATTGTGTTTAAGTTTGGAGGTTTTTAAGAAATTTCACCATACTTTATTCTAAGTTTTATATTCAACCGGATTAATACATTTGACGATTTTAATTTTTCGAAAAAAAATTGGGTTGAAAAAACTAGTTCGCTTTTGTATCTCTGATTAATTCACACAGAAAACATGGTCGATTTTTCATGTTACTTCTCTACAAATTCTCAACTTTTGTATCCCTTGAAAAGTTATTTTCTTTCAAAATGACCTAAATATCTATTTCACTCGAATAGATCGGTACTTTTAGCATACATAAGTAGATCTAATTTACAAGAATTTACATATCATTGATTTATGCTTTTAAATTTATTTCACATCAATGCCATTGAAAATCACATACGAAAAAACGGAAGGATTAAATTTCGAAAAAAAGGTGGAAATACAAAATAGAGGATAATTTGTGTGGGTGTTGGGTTTGTAGAGTCAAGCAACAACTACCTCCTTCATTTAACAAACCAATATATAAGCACATTATTAAACTTATAATTACACAGTTAAAAGAACATTTCTTGAAAAATAGCCTATATGATGAGTTGCGCGTTTTTTTACTGATCTATTCAAATAAATATTGCGAAAATAATCTAAAGTATGCATATTTCCACTTTTCTTCATAACTCATTAATACATTTGCGCATACATGCATTTTATAACGTGCATATTGATAAAGAAACAAAGAGAATCCAATGAAAGTATTATTTTTTTTAATGATATTATTTATTGACGTTTTTTTTTACAATTACATTCGTAGTTATTTATTGCGTTCGACAATAACAATAAATGAATTCATAAGTAGAGAATTCGATCATTTTTATCTATCGTAATTATAATGTAGTTCAATAATCCAAACGGAATTAGGATAAAGTAAAATGAAAACACAGTGTTTTATTGAAAACTAAGCAGGTAAATGTTCACTTAAATTTGCTTGCTCATGAATACCTGCTAGCGGGCCTAAACAATATTTTTGTTTAAAGAGTAGACCTCCAGGATGATAAATCAATAGTTATCTCAATTATAGAATGACCTGATTCGACAAATATGCACACAAAGTTTTCTTTTTCGTATTTTCACAACTTAAGATTAATTTATTCAAATACTACTGTCTTCGGTATGACTATTACGTGTGCTGTTACGGGTATGAGTGCGGATGTCAATTCCCGGCTGCTCATGCCGTAAGAGAGTGTTTCTTGAGGAAGTTGGATTAGTGTTGGTCTTAGAGACCTGGGAGCGTGACCGTAGAGCCCAACGGACAACTGTTTGAAGCCGGTCACGCACAGCCCTTTTTGAGTTTTTAAAGTGTTGGCCCCGCTCTTGTTTAAAAAGGCCTTACCGACGGAAACGGAAATCCGTGAGGTGAGGTGTGACATTTTAAGGGTCGAACTTTTATAACCCTTCCTTCCTTGTGAGAAGGCAGCATCGCTGCAGGTGCTGGCTTTCCGAGGGAAACTGTTTACTTTTATGCACCTTTACAGTCACCAGTACGACACTGCCCTCAGACATTAAGTTGCTGCTTTTAGTCTCATCGTTCTCCAATCGACCTCCTTGGGATAGTAGAATCTACAGGAACATATGTTCCAGCCAATATAGCTCAGTTGGGTCATCATGACGGACAAGCACGACCACCATGTCAAAGTAGCAGCTACGACCGAGGATACTCGTAGGTTGTTATTATTAAATTACAGATGTCTTCGGAACATTGCTAGTGTATCCTGGGACAGCTGAGTAAGCAATGCTGTTGTTAGGAAACGAGTTCTAGGCAGGGATGGAAAATCAATCGATAAAGTAGTGAAACATCATCACTTGAGATGATTATGTGTTACGCATACCCAGCACCGACTGCCTCGATGAGCGATGTTTCGTGGTGTGGGAGTAGGATGGAAGTATAATAGGGCGGCCAAACCAAAACATGGCTCATCTACCAACTGACCAGTGTAGTGAGTCATGTTAGTAGATGTAGGCTACTTGGTTGGGGTCCACAAGACGATAGTGAACGATGGTTGGAGACCTTGAGTGACAGGGCTCAAAATTGTTTGCAATGGCGCGGGTGCATCCACTCTTTGTTTTCTCTGAAATTCTGATCTTCTGAATTCCTCATCACCTCTATCTTTCTCTTTAAGGTATCTCACTGAATAATATCTTTAAACCCCGATCTCCTCTTTCCCGCTAATATTTCTACTATCTCTAACACTATGGAACTTGAACTGAAAATCACTGTGGTAATGTGGTAAGGCAACCTGAACCGATGCACGTACTCACGAACTAACTGATTATCTGACTGAATATTGTCACCGGTATTTTTATTCATACATGTTGTTATTATTATATTTTAATATCACTGTTTGACAATGGAACAAGTAAACATTGGAATAGCACTTATTATACTGTAATATCTTTTACGGAATTTATTTCACTTCACAAACTGAAGTCTTCCATCAAACATTTATTTCAATTTGTGATTGCGTTATCGTTTCATTCTCTCATCTTAGTTTACACAAAGTTATGACCGATTTCACAATCACACTTAAAGTACAAAATTATTTGAGTTCACATTATATATTAGTCAAATCAATGTTAACAATTTTATTTCATTTTATAAATAATCCTATAATTCACGTATCCAAATTTTAAACGATGTAATTGCATTGAATTTGGCTGTTTATGGATATAAAACTGGGGAATTAGAAGTTTATTAATTGAAAAGCATATCCTCTATTTGTACAGAAGTGTTTGAATATAAAGAACGCCAATGAATATAAAGTAGACTTCATAACTTACAAAGTGGTATGAAAAGTCAGAAGAAGAATTTCGACGATGGAGATGCTGCTGTTACGCACAGAGTCGAAATTTAATTCGCCTGATTATTTGTTTTTACTGTATACAAGTTACTAAGTTGTACTCCACTCAAGTCGATGACAACAGATGATATTTTGATTTAATGTCTGTTGTACACATAATTTAGCATTAAAAATAACTGAACACAGGAAAGTTTTGCGCAGTAATTTTAGCTAAGAGAACCGTTTCAACAAGTACAAAAAACTCAATGAAATAAATTAACTTCAATTTCTTCTCCTCAAATTGTCGTTATCGATCACTTTTAGATGACCAAGAGAACTATGTGTATCGAACTTACCTGTCATATACCAAGGAAAAAATCCAAGCCATATAGTACAAATAATACATTTCGATGTAATCAGTTCGCCACTTCAGAAATGTTATCCAACAAATTTTGAAGTTTAAACTCCATACCACCAGCAAGTAATTTGATTTATGTGGTCACAAAATATCATGATAACCCTCACAAAACTAATGCACCTGAGATCCTACAACATACACTTTCACTTGGCAGTTAAATTACATTTCGCATCAACTTATGTAGATAATAAACCATTTACAGTGAATATATATATATATATATATATATATATATATACCAACTAGTTTAAATCTTATTATAATTAGCCATCATAATCATGGCTACTGAACAATATCTATATGATACTTTTGTCATTGACAGATAATCGATTTATTCCAATTGATTTTTAATGGATGACTAAATCATAAAAAAATAATGTTAGGTTAATGGTTGTTGATAAAGTAATTTTTTCACATTTGCCATTATTTCATACTTGAATGAAAGTCTAAAATTTATGTTCTACTAATTTAAAAAAACAAATTATTAATTATCCTAAAATAAGTATGTTATCCATGAGCTTGGTTGTATAACAAAACATAAATTTGACTGTAAGGTTAGTAAGTAATCACTGTCATTTGACCTCAGTCGATAAGGCATAAAAGAAATCTACTTTGTTTTGTATATGAACTATTCAGCAGTGTACGTACACGTTTCGCCATGAAATTGAATGCAAGATCATTTGAATAGCAAAGCTAGTAAAATATTTTTTAAAATTGCTAAGTTAAAATCAAATAGTTCATATTATGAAATCCAGTCAAGTCAGTAAGTGAAAATGTATTCTTCTAAGGGATAGCAGTTTCCTATCTGTTTTAGAAACTACAACTGCCTGATTATGAAAGAAAACGTAATTGCTTCATCCATCTTTTTTTACCTACTTTTACTTTAGTGAGTTCGCTAAAGAGCGTGAACGTGTGGAAAAAAGACGTGCCTTTTTAAAATTACGCAGGCAACAACAATCTGATCGTGAATTAAACGGTTATCTAGATTGGATACAACGAGCCGGTTAGTTAAATTTTCATTATATCGATACATACATATAACTATTAGTATAAAGACTTTAAGATGTTCGTTATAGTTTGTGTTATGTAACAAAATTGCTTTTGATTAAACGGCTATAGAAAACCAGGAGGCACTAACACGAGGGCTTCTTAAGAGTGCACTTGGAATAGACTGCCATAGATTGAACTTATGACAATCATGTTTCGTGACAAGCACTTAACTGTTAGACCAGTGAATTGATAAACAACTGCTTACACTGTTAATTTCAATCGATTGTTGATTCGCTGTTGGTCCGTGAGTTTTTCATTAAATTGGAAATAATTCCTGAAATTCGTATAAAATGTGACTGGTAAATTTTAACCTTATTGATTATGAGCCGTTAGTTATTGATGGTATCGGATAAGACTATTATTACATTGCAAATCAGACATGATACAGATACCACCAAGGGAAGAGATGATGGTCGCTCAGTGCTGAAAAACAAATGAAATTATGAAACATAAACCATTGGATACGGATTCATTAGTCTAAAGGCTAACTGCTCATCATCAGGCCTGATATTCTTGAGTTCGATATAGGATGGAGTTTTGGGCGTGCACTGCTGGTTAACTCTATAAGTGAATAAAACAGCCATCCATTGCTTCCACGTTTATTAAAGTTAGAACGTGATATCAACTTAAAAAAATTAATTGATATGAAAACTAAGACCATTGATTTTGTTTCAATGATCTCAAACGTGGACAGAACTAACTCAGTATCATGAGTAAGCATTATTGCATATTTCCCATTTCAGACAACACAGCCGTTTCTTGATTCCTTTAGCTGATTTTAACTTAAGAGAAAACTTACTGAATAAGTCTGTACAAGCTACCCAACTAGATAAAAGTCATTATTGCATAGAGAACAATTAACATTTACTAATCGCAATCAAATGGCTATACTGTCATTTATAGAATAACACAACAACAAGAATCTACTCGGAGAATTATGCTTTTTTTAAAATAATTTAATAAACTTACATTTTAAACGTATTAATGTTTACATAGGAAGCAAGAAAGAAGTAAGTGAGTGAATGAGTGAGAAACTAGTAGAGACATATTTGTCCAAAATTTAGAATTTAATTCTATATTATCTGTTGTTTGTTCAAATCAACAATAAACTGATTACTTTTTGTTTATTTCTTTTTATCTCACATTCTACTCATTATGATTTACAGGTTTCTGTTTACTATTTTTTATAGCATTCTAAAAATAAGGTATGAACGAATTCAATGTTCAATGTGATAAATATACACATATATAATGTGCGCTTGTAATATTCATAGTTTCGTTTTTTAAGGGAAAATAAATAAAAAAACAATTGAATGAAACTAGCAGATTAGTTTCATGTGAGAATTTTATATCAGTCAAGTTCATCTATTGTTGATACAGAATTCTTACTCCCACTTATTGAAATCTATATGCATTAATGTAAGAAGTTTTGTTTATTTAAAAAAAAATGATTATCAACAGGAAATAATATTATGTTTAATTTGTTATTTAACGGAAGTGAGCTACAGTAACATTAACCAAACAGATGTCATGATGTAAATGTCTTTCAATTAAACTAATGTTCCGATATGTAAATGCAACTTTGTTTATCTCCAAAAGTTATAGCGTTAACTAAACTTTTGGATTCTTTCAACTTCATAGTAGTTATTAGTAATAAATATGAAATCTAAATGTGATTAATTCTGTTCTATTAGGGTTAATAGGCTCTAACGGTCAAGCAGTTGTAAACTAGAATCAAAAAATTGTCCATCGCTGTCTAGTTTTTAGTGGTACGTTTTATGTGACCGTTACCTTTGAAATCCATTTCTTATAGTGTGATGATCACCTTTGTCTATGACCATACATAAGAGTTACATCTATTCCATAGTTATTATGTGACAGAGAATGAAAGATGAGTCCATTATCAGTGGAGACCTCTATGAAAAACGTAGACCAACTAGATTCGTTATTCCATCATTATATGATCTCTTTAAAGTTCATAAGAAGGATATCCCATTCAAAAATACTTAGGTGACATTTTCATTGATTGTGCAAAACTCTCAATTTCAATAATATTCTGGCCACCTACAATAGCTAACACAAATCAGTTATGTTCACAGTACATTCAGAGTCGGACTCAGAATTGCACCTCTTAGGTGTCTAGGTACAAAGGAAAACTTAAGTTCTTTACAAAGATTGATTTGTAGAAAGCCCAAGTGTAACAATCACAACAGGAAATTTGAAAGTTTCGCCCCAGTGAAGCGAACAGAAACACTGATTCCTTGTTTCTGCACTAGGACCAGAATCATCTGTACGGAAGATATAATTGATATGAAACTTGATAAACTACGGAAGATACTGATCAGTAATGGACATACACTGATAAAAATCTGAAGCCAAAACAACAACTAGAAAGAGTACCTATATCGACAAAGAAGACTCTTTTCATAAGCATTCAGTTGAAAGGATATACTGTAAAAGAATCTATGAAAAACGACTTTCTGGATGTCTAAGAAAAAACATTCTACTCTGTTGAGTTCTGTATTATGTTTCCTGGTTGGTCCATGATTTGTAGATGTGTAGCTTCATAAACTCACTCTTTAGGCGAAATCAATGTGCAATTATCAGTTTACTCACTCATGTGAAGCATGTTTTGTTGGAGGCACAAACAAGTTCTTTTAAAATGCATCTCCGAACAATACCCTACTGGGTTATGAATACCTAAGTCAAGATAGGAGCGGTTCGTTCAAAGTGTAATATGTGGGTATAGAAAAGAATTACTTGTAGTTTTTAAAATACTTGATCATTCATACATCGCATATTTTAGCAAAAACTCTTATGAGACATCTCTAAAAATAGTACAGAAGACTTTTAAATTGCATAGAGATCGTATGATTCTTCTCTGTCATCCTAAGTTTCAATCAAAAGTGTACGTACGTATACAACTTCAACCAGTTTGCGATACAGTGTAACAATCACCCAATGTCATAAATTTGAAGAGCTCAATTTATTCAATTTGGTAGTCGTGTATTTCATTTCGTGATGGATTAGTTGATAAATCTATATATCTATACCAGTGAAATACATTCAGAATTTTAAGATTTTTAATTTTTCTTCCTGAAGAAATACTATAAGACAACTTCGTGTGTAACTATTTTCTTTATCTAAATTTAAAATCTGGTAGTCATTACTAATAACTGAAGGAAACTAGCAGGTTGTCGTGGTAACGGAAATAGAGTAAACAAAAGGAATTTATAGGTCTAGCTTGTAATGACTATTTTCTCTGTATGATTATTGCTACCATTTGTTTTATAAACTCGGTTAAATTAAATATTTTGATAAATCAATCCGTTTAAACCAAATATTAAACTGAAGTTATTCATAGTCTAACCTTGACATTATCAACTGTTAACATTCAAGGTTGATGTCTGATTAATCGTGAAAATATTGCTCGACACTCTGTTCACTCAATCTATGACTGAATATTTCATTAAAGGAATCTGCTTTAAAATGTGTTGTTGCTATGCCCATATATCTCCATGCTATCATTCTCAATATGATCCGACCTCTGTAAATTAAACCTTAAGTAACTGAACGTTATACACTTAACAATTTATGCATGAAAGTTACAATAGACTAAAATAGCCTGTGTAAAATAATAGAAAATAATTTTATAGTTGTTTAAATCTGATAAATAAAAGCTCTAGTACTATGTGATTTATCTGAACGATAAATGATGGAGTTAACTAACCACTTACTACTAGTTCGTTTCAGTACATTTTTTCCCGATTTTATTTTACCCTTAAAATACACTACATTTGTAATGTGATATACGGTTATGAAAAAATGCTACTTGTCAAACAGATTTTATTTAAATTCTAAAATAATACGATGAATATAACTAGTTTGGATATGAATACATTGAATAAAAACTTGAATTCAGGTAACAATATAGTCTTGATAGGATAAAAACAGATTGATATTATTAAATTTTTACTTCAAGTTAATTACATATACGTCCGTAATAAATGTATATTTTTTAAACCATGAATCGATCAATGTTAGACCACCATTAGAAACCTGGAAGCACTGGACAGCCGTTTCGTCCTGGTATGGGACTCCTCAGCAGTGCGCATCCACGACTCCTGCACCTCGCAGGATTCGAACCCGGGACCTTCGGTCTTGTGCGTGAACGCCTAACCATCGGACCACTGGGCCGGTATCTAACGGTGTTAATATCTAACTTGTTCAATGTGTAACTTAACAATCTTAACAACCCCGTAGTGCAAATAAATGTATATATCAAGTTGACGATTGATTACCGTATTTATATGTTTGTAATTTCATTAAAAGTCTTTTTTTCTCATTGAAAACAAGAAAATTTGGTTAGTTGGAATGTTCTTTGTTCAATGAGTTTATTCTTTGGTGCTAAACTATTTTGCCAGTCTTTTTAATTGAAAATATCAAATGTAATACAACCTAACAGACAAAATATATACGATTTTTTGTGAAATTTCCAAATAATTAAGTTATTTATGTATTTTTTCAAGTTTATGTGTTCATACTACTGAAAATAAAAATTAGACTAAACTAGAGAGTTTACATGGAATAGACTGAATGTAAGTATCAATGGAATTCAGGACACGAGTTTCGTCCTATTAAGTATTCGTCATTTTGATGCCCTTGGATTACACTACGACCCACACCTATCTATTCTATATAAACTTTTGTCAGAATAGCTATAATGAAGTGATCTGCATAGGATGCCTCTATACCAACCAAGATTGATCAAATTCCAATCAAGCTATCAACTGTAGGGTGATTCTAACTATCTGGAATTTTAATGAAATCCCATACCCATTGCACACATAAAAGGAAGCGAGAATCAGTAGCTAAGTGGATAACTCAATGGCGTATAAAACGAATGATACTGGGTTTAGGTTCCGAGGTAAACTTTAACTCTGCAATGCAGGTGTACCCAGCTTACAAGTCCCGAATGGAGCGAAAAAATCAGTTTAATAGTTCAGAAAGGAGTTAGGTGTGAGATAAGATACATCATTCCAAATTATTATTTGTTTTCAGTAGTGTGTATGAACATTGTTGATTTTATATGAATCTGTTGAAATTCATAAGTGATTTAATCGTTTTGATATTTCACAAAAATAGTCGATATTTTTTCTGCTAGATTGTGTACCATTTGATATTTTCAACGGAGACGCAATAAACTAGTAACAGCAAACAGTTACAAATTATATTATTTCATTGAACAGCTTCATTTAATAGCATTCTTATTTTTTTCTTTATTTTTAAATTAGAGGAAGTTATTTTAGCTGAAGAACAAATTTCATTTGCTCAGCGGTTGAAAATTATCAAAGGTATGTCTTATTATTACTCAATGCATCAATTTTCATGTACATATTTTTATCTGATAAAATTCAGTTTCTGCCTGCACAATGTAACAATTCAGTTAACTTTTGTCGAAGAAAAAACGGGGAATAATGCTATTTTTATCAATACATTATATAAGACATTGAAATTTTTATTAGGATAATTCTCAACACAAAAAGAATTATTATATAAACTAAGACAGAACAAACTGTCCAATTTTCCAGTATTACTTACCAACAACCGAACAGGAAACTAAAATAAATACCATGTCAGTATTCATTGTTGTTGTTAACACTGAACATTTAGAAATGTTGATGCCAATTATATCATGGAGAATTTCTGCCTAATATTGACTGCTCAAAGAATTGTAATAAATATCATATTGTCTAAACTTTAGTCATAATGTGACCATTAAACTAGATGATATCATAATGATTGTCTTGTTGGTCTGTGCATAAAACAGAAAGATATTTTCAATGTCTTCACTTTCGCACTAATGAAAACAATTTAAACGTTCGAATAAACTATACGAAGGATTTATTCAGTATGTAAGCATTTAAAAGCTCGAATAGTTAGCCAATGCATTAGTTCGAACTGTAACCCAGTGAACACGTTTAGAAGTTCTAGAATCATTAAAAGCATTCGTTATACATACACGAAGTATAAAAGGAATAATTTATCTTTTATTATTCAACGTGATAGCTAGAAGAAGAGCGGAAAAGATACGAAGACGATCAAACGATGCTGAAAAACGTGCCATAGCTGCTGAATTAGAAAATTGTGAAGCTGGTAAGTTGTATTCAATTTTTATAATTAGTACACTTCACATAGTCTGTTGTTAATTACTGTATACTGTTGATTATGACTTCAATGATGAAATTTGACTGATCAAATGAAAGACTCTTTATAGTCAAATTGAACGTCCGGTACAAATTTTCCATACGACTGATACAATGTTTATCTGCAACTCAGACAATTGGTAGTATTGTTTGAAAGTTGAATTTTACATGTAATCAAACATTTTAATAAGCAGACGTAACCACAAGAGTTTTTATAAATCAAAAGTAAGATAGACATCGGTAAAACTAATGCTAGATGGCCGCATGTTATCGTGGATTGATATAGAGTGAGTAAAAATAATGGCATCAATGTATTCTGTAAAATTTCAGCTTATTTTTAAAAGATTCAAGTGTGCATAAGGTCAGAGTAAATGTTAAAATGAAGACATGCAATCTCTTAAAACAATAATGAGCTTGTATGAAGAAAATAAAATAAACTGATTATACTATAAGGATTGAATGATAAAATAACTTATAGAATGTTCATTCAGCTACTAGCCTAAATAAAGTTTGATGTTCGCCTCTAAACTGAAGATCGGTGCTTGTGCTGAAAGGAGATCTATCTGATTCGGATTATATGAACATATTGAATAAAATAGGTTTATGTTTACAGTATTGTAAAATTGAACTTCACTAGTTTAGTAACTTTGTAGGACCCACTTCTTCAAATAATAAAAGAATTTATCAAACAAATAGCTAAACAGCACTAAAAACTAAAAAATATTTCGTCAGATTGTATGTAATTTAGTAACTGGCGCAACATTTTCAAGTTCTCGTGTAGTAATGGTAAGTAAATAAAGTATGTTTAATAATGGCTGAATTTATCGTGTCAATTTCCCTCATCCTTTACAACAATGAAGGATATACTTTGTTATTAAACAGGAATTAAAAGTATTCTACCTTTTTAAATGCACTAAGATTAATGCTGCTTAATTTATGTGTCTTGTTTGTAATGTCTCGAAATTCATAGTCAGTTTTTCGCCTAATCGTGGAGTTGAAGTAAAGTTATAATATCTAAAAATAATCAGTTTAATCTTAAATTAGAGTAAATGATGCACACCAGAGAGTTTAAAAATGTCAGTACTAACTTCCTCATTCATGACATTTTTGGTTTCTCTTCCAAATAAAGTCTTTAACTAACAAATAATTTTAATTCGAATAAGTAAATTTGAATCTCATCTCAAGATATGAATACACTGGTTTTATGATAAACAATTTAACTGGCGTTCTGTTCAAATTTGTTGAACTCAATTTAAACACCCTAATTTATGTTGACTTTTTAAAAAGTGAATTTCGATATGCGAACAATAAGTAACATTTGAATTCAGAAACGTTATTCTTCTGTTTATGTTATGATACATACTTTTCATTCAAATAAATAAATTGGAAAAGTTCAGTAGCTTTATATGAAACAGGAAAAAAAGAGACAGTAGATTCTGTTACTGTGTGTGAATAACTTTCTTGTGATTTTGACCAAGGTCAGATTGAAGCAAGAATATTAACAATCTTAAGTTTCACATAACTGACTGACTATGGTTGGAAAATCAATGAAAACTGGAAAGATTTGGATAGCTATTTCGTTTTAGTATGAGACTACTGAACAGAGTCCTTTCACAACACCTACAGCGGTCGAATGCCGAAATTTCAGGATTGTGGATAGTGTTCAGCACTAAACCACTGAGCTCCCTGCTTATGACGTAAATCCCTAACTTCAATGAATTTGTGGTACTGCGCAACCGCTGTTATCAGGTGTGTTTTTTCCTCACCAGAATTGAAAGAATCATTTCTCAAACTTGGTCACCAGTAAAAAGACAAAGACTATTATTAAAGCATGTTGCAGAGTCCAGTGAATTTAAAATTGCACATAAAGAATTCAATAAAAACTTAAAAAATACACCACAGTAACCATGTCTGCTGTCAAATGATGATCCTACATAGTCATTACTTAATTCAAACGTCTATTCTATAGCATCAATTTTTATTATTCGTTCCCAGAAGAATAAAGAAATGATGTGTCCTTACACGCAACATAATGCAAATTAATGATACAGAACACTAAGGCAACAGGAAAATCTTTTATCACAATCATGTATATGTTTTTGATTTCAAAATAGATAACAATTAGAGGCCTCATTCTTTTCGCTTTAATTTTCCTTTTCTTCACATTTCATTTTATAAAGAACTAAAAGCTAAACGAAAATTTAAAATACCCGGTACTGAAGCTTTATTTCAATATCATAAACAGTTTCGGTAAGCTTACTGTATTTATTTTTATTTGTCCCATTCCAAATACAATGGAAATTAATGTAATTTTTAATACAAGTTTTGATCATCGAGATTAACAGAAAATTCTACAAGAAAAAATATTATGTTACTGTAGCAATTTTTCTATAACTTATGTGCTTTTCTTCAAAGAGACTACATATGCTGATTACTGTTTAGTAGGCGTTTGAAGATCAAGTAGTTTTCGACCATTCATATCCCAAAGGATAATCGTAAAGTAATCGGCAAGTAGCATCATATTTCTAGGATAATCAATTAAAAATGATGAAGGCAGACGCTTTTTTTGAAAACGTCTGTCAGAAGCCACCAGTGAATTGTTTACTTAGCCAACACGTGTGAATACTTTAATTGTAGTAAGTTTCTTTTGAATCTTCAGTGCATGACGATTATCAATATTTATTTCAAAATGATTGTTAAACACCCAAAACTATTACCTTGATACCTTTTTGAACAGAGAAAACTTTGTGAATATCTTTTTAGTTTACTTGTGTGAGCTAAGTTAGTCAAAAGCAATTTATTTCAGAATTTTTCTAAAAACACATTTATAACCACAGGAAACCTGTTAGCTATTTCTCTGGCTACAGATATATATGTTTATTTTATCTACATAACAAATATAATTTAGTTGATTAATTAACTCATCATTTATTGAAACAAAAATTAGAAAATCACTAAATCTGACAAGAACGACTAATAGGAAGAAAGGAAACATTAATTAAAGATTGAAAAATAATCAATTTTAAGGTCTAATTTAATCTTTTTTGTTAAAATGATTCAAAATAACCATTAAAATATAACAGGAAAGAATTCGCAACGGAATTCAAGCGGTTATCAAAGAATATCGATCGTACTTTGTTAAGGGGTAATTAATTTTACGACATCGTTCATCATCCACTGAGTGAAATAAAAGCATTTAAAAATAACGGGACAATAAATATCGATGTGGTCATCGTTTAGAATTTAATAATTATGTCCATTGGTGAAATTATACACGCAAACTAGTGCGAGGAACACGTGTTTCATGGTAAGTGTAACACCATTTTCTAGTCTAAAACTGCGATCATACGCTTGTACCCATGTAAAAGTCTACTCAGTCTTCCCTGGTTATTGACAGGTTCTTACTGGTATCAGTTCTTAATGAATACTCACGTCGACTTGTGAGATCTTGAATGTCCACTTTTCAACTTATCGTTAATCACATACATATACGGGTCAATAATGATAATCCATTTATTAGATAAATAAATTTCATATTTTCTTTTATAATCTAGTTTCCTTCTAGAATTTCTTAGAATTAACTTTCTTTATTACTCTTGTTTAATATTACAAATAACTGTAGATTTGCAGTTCGTCGTCTGATAAAATCACAAAAATTTTATATACTTGTGATTACCCTCGTATTGTTGAATGCATTATGCGTTTCTGTAGAATTTTACGGTCAACCAGGATGGCTTACAGATTTCTTATGTAAGTTCATGCAGTTGTTTCGTGAATATATAAAAATCACTCTTTCAAAGAATGATATTAACAGAGTTAATCATTTCAAAAGATATTAAACATCAGAATAATAAATATTTTGTTACAATAAAGCTGGACAAAAGCTTTATTGTTTACACTAGCCAACATTATCGAATTGCATGGTTGGATTTTTTTCATTGTTTACTAGTAAGCATGTTCATCTACTAAAATAACTACTTGATAGAAAAATCGATTACATTACAAGTCTGTTCTTAACAATTGGTATTCACATTCAGATTACAAATTACACATTAGAATGGTTGTATGTGGTGAATTATTGGAACTCAAAGAATCTACATCATTGTTTGACGTTGGATAAGTAACTCCGATAACTAGATACTGGTGTACCCTTCTTTCTTTCTGACTTCGGCAAAATTTGTAGGTTTGTGATACAATGTAGTCACAGTACTATCCAGCCAGTGATGATTTATATTCCCATCCTCACTCCATTAACGATCATTTTTCTAGTTCTTTCAATGAGTAGCCTTCTCAATATTTACATGACTGACCTCAACGGCAGTTTAAATTAGAAATCTGGAAAGTTGATCTGGTAATCAATCACTGATCAGGTTATGATTAATATTCAGGTAGAGGTGGTTTTTTGAATATTTTCTTGGTTTAACGATACGTTTCACCGTAGATTTGTTTTATCCGCTAATTCGATAATCAAAGAAGTCCGACACTAAGAAAGAATGATTCATAGCAAGGATAAATACAATCAGTCGGACGATTACTGTTAAGATAGTATACTTAGGGAGTCACAATCTATAATAAAAAAATTTATCTAGTGTCTCTTGATTATCTATAATTTCTTAGTTGCCACAAAAATCTTTGATGAAAATTTTTTTAAAAATGAAAAAATAGATTTTTATGAATTATTTAGCCGCTTAAGAATATACTTGTTCATAAAACACAATTTATTTTTGTTACAGATTTCTCCGAATTCATTTTTCTTGGACTATTTTTATTTGAAATGATTATAAAAATTTATGGATTGGGCTGTTTGATTTATTTTCATTCGACGTTCAATATTTTTGATTTTGCAGTAAGTTGTAGTTATAAAAATCAATTATAATACCTCTCCTACGAATTATACAATACACGGAACTATTTAAAGTAGTGAATGCATTTTAGCGCTTTGGCTAATAGTGGTTGACATGATTCCGAATAGTTGTGCTTTCTCTTCGAAGGCATTTTCTTTCTTCATTTGATTTCATCAGAAGCATGTTGGGACTTTTTTATTTATATCACACTGAGTAACAATAAACACTGTTATGCTTGTCCCGTTCATAGTGTTTTTTGATGCTAATAAAACATGTTGTAGCCTCGTCATTGATCTACCATTAATTTTCGATTGTTAAGATTCTTGAACGATTATTACACTAGTGCCTTTTTCGTTGCGTCATGTATAATAAACATAGTTATGTGTTGCATCTATAAATCTGAACGAGGGTGTAGCCCACCTAATAAAAAAGGGCAAGGAAAAAAAATTGCCAACTTGCTATCGACGTCCTTCTAGTTAAAAAAAGGTTAAACATGGAAAGTATCCTCGAGTGGAATTGATCATGTAAAATCATCTTCCGATCACCCACAGATATATCAGTAAACCCTCATGGACACGCTGTTATACCTGTGCAATAAATAACTGACTTGATATTTAACATTTGAGAAGCTTGAATTGAACGATGCATTTAAGAAGACCAAGACAACAGATCACAATTTATGTTATCCTCCAAAATGAATGAAAATAAACAGCTCAACAAACTAATTTTTACATGACCTACACTAATTGATGTTCAGATCTGTACACATCAAAATGACTAGTAAATGACAAAATTCGATCAATAATTTACTGTGTGAAATATCCCAAAACTAAACGTTTGTTACCAGTTAATGTAAGTTAATCTGATTCGCTCTTTTAAAAATGCCATGCTTTATTGCAAGAAAATATATATACAAAGTTTCTTTATTTGTCGAAATTATCCTAAAACAAAACAAAACCAAAGTCGAAATCATAAGTAAGCACATCTAACTTGTTATTTAAGATCTATGATAAATATCTTCAATGTCCAATAATTTATTCGACTAATCGATTAATAACTCAATGCCTCTTGTCTATCAAAACTAGTGTTTTTTATTCTATCTAATGGTATATACCTATTTCTTAGTTGTCCGATATTAATGCATCTGGTGTTTTTCTGCTTGATATTTCTTACTCTACCTCTAGTGTCTTACTTCACTTTCTAAAACACTGTCTCCTGTTTTTTCGCACTTTGCTTCACTAACTCATTTCAATTTTTTAATCTAATCTCTTTTGTGTAAGTGAAGAATGAGAAGAAGAATTATATCTTCATTGTTTCCTCAAAAATGATTTTATTACTGTTAATTTTGTTTTGAGCAACTATTTGCCTCTTATTATAATTTCTTCTCTTGCATGGATTGATGAAATTGTGTGTTCAATCATTAATTTATAACAAACTTATATGATGAATCACGACAACAATGGCGACGATAATAAATTTTCTGGGCAGTGAAATGGTTAAAACTAGGCCAACGAAAGTGAATTTTTATCTTCAGCCATTTGTAATTTAGATATTCAAGGTGTTTTTGATCGCTACGTTGTACTAACCTGAAGTAGTACAAAACTTTACTGAATTTCAAAAAAGTTTGTTGCGAAGATTTTGTGTTGAGAAGTTCTATTCAGAGTTGTTTTTACTTTGATAAGAATAAAAAGTTGTTGATGATTGATACAACTCCGCATATTATCAATCTATGAATAAATATTATAACAACCCAAATTTATAAACTTATATCATTCCTAAAAATGTCTTTCAATCCTAATACTGCATTAAGTTTTTCAAAACTTTCACCATTACATAAACAAACATTTTTAGGTTGTTTTCGCTAGTCTATTCGAAATTGTATGGCAGATTTTCTATCCATCCGATTCATTTGGATTCTCCGCTTTACGCAGTATTCGTTTATTGCGAATATTTAAAATAACAAGGTTAGTTTATGCTTTTGAAAAATTGTCAATACGTTGAACTTTTTTAACCGTTGATTTGTTGCTTTCAACGATTTAACATTCATTTTGCCAGTTAACGAACCACGTGTTTTCAGTTTAATGTTAGTAAATTAAATTGATTTAGATTTAAAGAAAAATAAATGTTGTCTTATTCAAACTGTAGTAGTAACAAATAGGAATTCGGGATATTGATTGACAATTAGGGTACTCAGTTGACTTCGCAATTATATTTCTTGACAAACAGTGAATTTTATTGAAATATTAGATCGCCAATAAAACCTGAAAGCGCTGGATGGCCGTTTGGCCTTAGCATGCAACTCATCAGCAGTGTGCAGTCATAACCCCATGAGCGGCAGTCGAACCCAGGACCTTCGATCTCACAAGTGAACTCTTAACCTCTTGACTATTAAGCCAATATCCAATGGTTCTGATGTCTAACTTGGATGCTTGCTCAGTGATGAGGATGTTAAACGTTCACATGTAATACCGAAGGTCGATACCAGCTCATGGGCATCGTAGATGCACACTGTTGGTTAGTACCAACTAGAAGGAAACGGCCATCCGGTGCATCCTGATTTCCAAAAGCAGTCTTACGTTGATCTGTTCATGATTTCGATGGAACCCAACAATCTCCATAACTCTTTGGTAACAAATCATTAAATTTTGTTGAAAATATGAACCAAAGCTCAACCCATTAGTCCTTAGGTAAAATGCTTTGCCATTACATCTGAAAGTTCTCAGTCCCATTTCTATCAGAATCATAGTTGACCATTTATTAGAAGTCCTGAAGTAGGATCACTTAATATCTTCCCTTACATATACTACACTAGTTCAAAATTTATGAAACTGGATAAATTAACTAAAAATCATTAGTTTCTAACGAAGCTTCAAACATCACACAGTCATATTCCTTCATCGATTCCTTCATCATTGTCAAAAGTTCATGCTCTTCACATAGACTATTACATCGAAAAGCATTACTCTATGTGTTAAAGAGAATCAGTCAGCTTGTCTCCATAAAGTAAAATTTATAAAAATAACACCATCTTAAACATACCTACATTCAATAAAGTAAATTATAAATAAAATTGTATAGAGCTTCGATATATTTGGTGCTTTATACAATTCCAAATAGATTTACAACTTGCAAAAAATGATTGTTTTTTAATAACTAATCCATTAAACGCTGCATTTTTGCTAGATGTTTGTTATAGCATCTGTTTTAATATCTGGTTTTTTTCCAATAAAATCTAAATGTTTCCGTTTATCAATGTAAGCATCACATAGTTTTATTGATAAGAAAGGTTTAACAGTTTATTTTATTTCAAATAATCAAATAATTTGTTATCGCTCTAATTCTACAGTTTGACACTTAAATTTATTTATTTATATCAGGTCATCAAAGATAAATAAATTGTTGCTTAAACCAAAATTAGTTTGTTATTCCTTTCCTCTCTCTATCAAAACACGTTGTGTATTGATGTTCCGTTAAGGAAAAATAAATACACAGGCATTAAAAGTCAACATTGTGGTCTAGAAGAATTAGAAGAAATAACGAACTGTCAGAACTGCTCAATAAATTATTCTACATTTATTAGTCGGAAATCATTTCCAATAATTTATTTGAGGTCAGTAGTGAAACCTGCTTGTGAAATATAACTTTGGAATATTCGCCACGATCATACGGCAATATCTTTCAAAACATAGATTTATGCATTTCCATTTAACCCTGAGGATCACAAAAGTTCATTACATAAAAATAAAAAATCAAATAATTTTCAATTAAAATGTTACAATTGAGTGATTTATTTATCTTTCTTTTTTTTAAACATTTTCTCTCTGAAACACACTTTGTTCAAACTACATTTACAACAAAGAGTGATATGGTCACACAAAAAGACAATTAAACGATTGAAATTTTTGAGGACAAATTAAAACACAAATGAAACAGTTTAGATTAGAACATTTTCATTTGAAAAAGTGATTAAATCTCAAGCTACTCAATTCATGAGTAACAAGTCATTAAGTTCAATAGATTGATCTATAATAATAATAATAATAATAATCGATAAAGTGTTTCTTATGTCAAATTTGATAACTAACCTGAATTTTAAATGAATGAAGGCAAACGTTTTACAATGTCATAATATTTAAATAAAACGAAATTTCGTGTAGTTGAATCTGTTAATAAATCAAAAAAAGATAGAAGAGCAAAATAAGCTAATTGATCATGTTTGTGTATATGTAGACTATTTTACATTACTAGTTTAATTAAATTCTTTTTTTGTGCATTATTGACTTATGCTTAAAGTTCATGTTACGTTCGCATTTGTTACGAATTAACACTTGAAGAACTACATATTACAATATTCATTTCTATGTTGGCATATGAAATTTTTGTAATTATTCGTAGAATTCATTTCAGAAGTTCTTGGTATGACCAAACCATCACATTTCAATAGAGGTTAGGCATCTTATGCGATAACTACTTGGGTATATTTTTATATACATGATCTACAGTAGACATTTGGTAGACTAATCACACAATATAATGCCATTGTAATTTTTTTAATTAACACTGATGTCTTTCATTGACACATAGTCAAAGTAATAATGGCGTGGATTAGAAGCCTTTTAGTTTGAATTCAGTATTGATCTCGATCGTAGTAAATAAAAATTTGATATTTCATACGTTTCCCCTTTCAGTTACACATTCAGACTTCGGTTAGCAACATACTTCGTCCTAAAGTATCATGTAATGTTTGTTAGGAAACTTTTCACGTTCGGCTTACTTCGAATAATTGATATGTTCATTTACTTCTCCTTACTGTTTTCACTATTCGTATCACAGCTATATTACCTGTCTTAATCGAAAATCGTCAATATTTACAAACTGTTAAATTTCTTCATGGAATATTTCAGAAACCAGAAATATTATAGCAGAAGGATGCTTAGTTGTACAGGAGGTCAAAGAAATCGTTGAACATATAAATATATATATTACCAACTAATTTCAGCTAGATATACATTAAAAACTAGGAAATACTTGAAGGCTGTTTCATCCTAACATGAGATTCTTCACCTGTGCTCAGTTACAGTGCCTTTAGGAACGACAGGCCTCGTAAGAAGTGGTTAGTTCCCAGATCGTTGAGTTGAGATCCATTAAGATCGATTCAAGACACAATATTACATGACCATCATCAATCCCAATTGGGGATATTGTCATTAATTCCAACTCGGTTAAAGTTTAATCATTTTCATCAGCTTCATCTTCTTGTTCTATGATTAAGAATTCATGAATTTTGCATTATCAATATGCATAGATGTTATGACAGAGTAATTTATTGTTATTTAGGTTAATTTTCTAGGAAGTTACAGGTTTCTATAAGAAAATCCATGGTATAGCAGTAAGGTTGAATAATAGTAATAAAGATAATATGTGAATTCAGATAGGTGAATGCTCAGTGAAAAACGCATCATTGGGTAGAAGAGAGCAAAGATCAGTACGACATAAGTCAGAAGGTAAACTATCATATAACACAGCTAACGTAAGTGATTTGATTAGAAATAGCGTGAACGTATAGTAAGGCCATAGTAAACAATTATAACTGAGTATAATCCTCATAAAAAAAGGTTCCTCTGAATTGATCTCGGTATTCACGTGATGTCTACATTAATCAAAGAGCTTTGGTTACCGTATCAGTGGTATATTTGAACCGCCTTTCATGTCTTAGCTGAATTAGCGTGTAGTAGGTTCAAGATACTAACGATACTAATCGAATTTCAAACTCACTGAAAATTAATTGGTTAAAATAACAGGTTTTAAAACACTAATGAGTAGTTTTCTCACTGGTTATTTTAACAGGCATAAAGTAGTTCACCAACATGTATGTGATTAACCAGGATACTTTTAGTAACCGGATAAAGTGAACTGGACATGTACAAAAAAGCCTGGTATCTTCCAAATATAATACTTAAGTAGGATAGTTGTAAGTCGTCTCATTTACATATTTTTCAGGTATGCACTGCACATAATACATAGTATTATAGTCACCCTGAAGATTAATAAGCAATATTTCTTTCCGTATGTATAAAGGTAAACATCAGTATTGATTAATATAAAGCAAATGCAACATTGCCGCCACTATTGCATTTATTTTTATTGTTCTAGATAAAGTAAAAGATAACTTTCATCAATTGATAATTGAATGTTGATCAAAAAGGCGCCTTTTGTTTAGTGATAAATTAAGCTTTCTGATGAACTATACTGAAAATTGGATATTTTGGATACAAGTGACTGCACAAACTATGGATGATGAAAATGGTAGACTGAGAATTCATGAAATCCACAACATATCAGTTAATTTGAAATGAATTTCATCTAAGTGAAATTTTAAATTGCTATAAAAGAAAACAGTTGGTTATAAATTACTGGCAGTCATAATATTTATTTTTCGTTTCTTTTCTGGTTTTTTTATAATTTAGATACTGGGCATCACTACGTAATCTAGTATTATCGTTATTAAACGCTATGAGAAGTATACTCAGTCTTCTATTTCTACTTTTCTTATTTATGTTAATATTTGCTTTACTTGGAATGCAATTATTTGGTGGAGAGTAAGTATTATCAGTCAATCTTTGAAAATTTGATTTCATTCACTCATATATCGAGCTGTTTTTAAGGGTCATTAATAGTTAACAGTACGAGCTTGTGATTTAAAACACCATATAGTTGGAACCTGTTGAAAGCAGATTCTGGATTATAAATGATAAACACCTCACACATGCAATTAAGATCTAAAATTTTCTGTTTATTGCTTTCAACCGCTATTCATTTTGATAACATATCAGTTTATCTAGTAATTGCATGTTAGTCTACTGAATAGTATTCAATCTACTCTAACGATGAAACAATAAGATGTTGATTTGCATTCGATAATCCACTGATGATAAATCATTTTGTTGAGGTTTTTGTTTTCTAACTGAACAGAATTTAAGTTTATAAGATTGAATGGATGAAATTTGTGTGAATAGTTATATTATTGATAAAGTCCTAATATTGCTTATTAGTCGTCAGTATGATAGACTCATCGAACATTCATAAGGTAGAGATATAATCATTACGGTATTTAAACCTGTACTAGTTATTGCTACTGATAGAGATGTTATTGACTTAGTTATTGCAAACACAGCTTACCCTTTGAACGACTGAGACGTTTACACCAGTTGGACATTATTTCAACTTAACCGGTGAAGTAACTTGACTAATTTACTCAGTACATGAGTAGTTCCAAAACTGAGATGAATGTCACAATATTTCCTAAATTTATTATTATCATTGAGATGTAAGAGTCTGTTTATCTGAAAGCAATCCACTGTGGTTTCTCATATCGAACCTAGGAAGCTTTCAAACCGAATGACTTATTTTCATATTTTCATTGAATTCATTTAGTTTAACAAAGTATATGGTGACGTAATTCTGTTATAAAATTTTTATAGTAAACATTTTTCTTCGATTTATTTTAAAGGTTTAATTTTGATGACGGGAAACCAGGCCAAAATTTCGATACATTTGTAAAAGCATTATTAACTGTATTTCAAGTAAGTGAAATATTTATTAGATATTTATTAAATATGTAAATGTCCATTGAAATACACATTTATAACTGGTCAGTGTTATATTGCTAACAATAGAAATGATGCTAATCAGTGATAAAAATTTGTATCAATTTAATAATAATAATAAGGCGATCGAATAAGAAGACTGAATACCTGTATCGATTAAAATCTTGTTCATTGACTTAAAAAATCGTTGGAGATAGCTGCCGAAATAGACGAATCAACTATTTATATTTTAACGAACAAACGCTGCTCACTACAATTCGTAAAGACCAAATAATTTCATTGTTGAGTGATAGATATTGTTAAGAAAAGCAAAACAGAAAACCCATTTCTGTAAAGTTTTTTTTATACATTGAACAAGAGCAAATAGATGTAAACTTTTAACTGTTATGAGAAACATTCATGAAAATGAAATGGTTCCATTTCATTTTGATCAATGAACCAGTATTATCAGTTAGAGCTTTGGAGATTTGTGTTTTTTCACATGTGAAATCATCAATCAATAATTGTTAGACCACCATCAGAAACCTGAAAGCAGTGGACGGCAGTAACTACCAAAGACAAATGGGTGAAGTCGTGCAAAATGCGTAGATCAATCAGAGTTAGACATTGACACCGTTGGATGCCGGCCCAGTGGTCCGATGGTTAGGCGTTTGAGCACAATGCCGTAGGTCCCGGGTTCGAATCCTGCGAGGTGCAGGAGTCTTGAATGCGCTCCGCTGACGATTCCCATACTAGGACGAAAGGGCCGTTCAGTGCTTCCAGGTTTCTGACGATGGTTCAACAATGATTGATTGATGATTTCAAATGTAAACCAGTATTAGTTGAATGATCATTTTTATAATTCAAAAAATGTCAAAATCGAACTAGTTTATCTTACTTTGGATTATATCCAATAATTAAGTCGTTTATGCTTCATTTATGTTCATAATTTCATGTTTTAAATATTAAGCTATTAAATTAACTTAGAATCTGATGAATTATTGATGTGATTTGTATTAATTTAATGACTATAGATTACTTTTTTCTAACTGAAAAGAACTCTTAATTAGGATATAAATTTGCTTTACTTTCAGTGTGTAATTAATGCTAACTATATTCTTTGACTAAATATCCTATCTTAGAATATTTTAGTGTACAAAAAAGTCACTGCATCAGATTGTTTATTTAAGAAATGAAAAAAAAATCCAGCTACTTACCTATTCATTGTTATGGTATAAATAGATTTTCATATAATTTAAGCGGTCATGGTTAGTCAACCATGATATGTTATTAAGATGAAACGAGAATTACTGTAAAAGATAGCTTTATGATTTCTAATGATGCACTATTTGAATTAGTAAAATGAATAATTAGGAAAGAGACCAATAGCTGAAACATATTCATACAAAATAACAGAGATCAAACAAAGAATATAAGCCAACAGACATAGGTGGCATTCATCATATAGAGTGACCTCAGTTACAGTAACTTTATAAAACAGAAGGCATTAGAAAACTGTTTCATCTAAGTCCTGGAATCCATGTCAATAATTACCTACCACCCTACCACGGTTCAAACGTGTAGCTTCCAGATATCACACTGTTAACAATACAATGTCAGACCACCGGGAGATAATCCAGTGCTTCATATTTCTAACTTCAGTTGATTTTTTGATATATTGTTATTGTTATTAGGGACGACAGCTTCCGTTCCATTACGTCTTTACTTCATCGTTAACAAACTGCGTTTCTGAGTAGGGATCGTCGGTGTGCACTGTAGATTGATGTCCACTAGTTTTTTTATGTTACTATCAGTAAATGTCGATTTGTGATGAACATCGCCTAAAATTTGAAATTTACAAATACTTTCAATGATGATGGAATCATGTTATTTACTTTTACAGTATGAAGCAAATAAAGACTTTTTATGCAACTTCTTAATTTATTTTAAATATAGATTTTAACTGGAGAAGATTGGAATATGATTATGTATGATGGAATACGTTCTCAAGGTGGAGTTAACAACGGAGGATTTGTATATTGTATTTATTTTGTATTATTAGTATTGTTTGGCAATTGTATCCTTTTTTATTTGTTTTGTTAATTTACCAAATTTGTCACATCTTTTTTTGTTATTTATTGCATTAGATTTAATGATTATAGATTATAATTGTTAGTTGTGCGTTGTTAATAAAATGTTCTTAACCATAAACGCACCAGTTCTATTGTTGTATTCGTTGTTCCATTGGTAAGTAGTGTAAATTTTCACTTTCTCTAGAATTTGTAGTCGTAAGATAAGAAAACTGGATGAATGTATGCGAATCGATCTTTGTTAGCCAGACTTATATCTCACATTAAAAATATAATGACTAATTCACCTAAAACTTGCTATGCAGTAATTATTATTATTATTAAAAGTTTGTATTTTACAATGAGTGAGAAAAATTGTTATTTACTTATATTCCACTGTTTAATGTTAAGAGCAAAACACTCAACTTATACGCGGTAACTCAACCAAAGATTTATTGTATGAAGTACTTCTACATTGTCAAGTCAGTGAATGAATAAAGATAACAGACATATGTAGATTGTTAGATTTGGTGAGTACATGAAACCCAAAACAAAACGTCGGTTCATACTCTGTTTAATCCTTATCATATCTGTGTTGACAATTTCAATTTACCAGAGGAGGGTGTTGGGACTATTTCATATATTGCTTTAACATATCATTCCTGTTCAAACAATTTAGACTCTATTTTATGTGATAGACTTGTGGTATGAAAGAATCTTTAGAATTTTTAAAATTTTTCTGAATTATTAGAGTATCATTATATATTAACCTATACCCAAAGATTTTTCAAGCTCTATTGAATTTCTACATAGTTGAACAGAAGCTCTGCAATATATATGAGTTCGCAAGAAGTTAGCCGGATGTATAATGCGTCACAATCCGAACATTTCATCTTAACAACACAAAGAGATTACAAATCTCTTAGTATTTTGATTTGAGATTACTCGGCAGTATATCTGACATTCTAAAGAACACACTGATGTTACGTTTGTTGACTACTATTCTGGTCCCATTGGATGTGTGCATCATCTGTATAGTATGATTATTGTCTTAGTTCATGATTTCGAAGTCGTTTCCTATCACTTCAAAATATTGTCCCCTAATTTTCGAACAAACATTTTCAGATATCTATTTATTTTAAGAATTCTGATTATGTTTGGTAATTCCTCTTTCTTACCTTTTTACTTGTTATCAATGTATGCGCCTTTCTGAAAAGACTGAAAACACCTAATATCTTTGGCATTGAGGATGTAAGGATTGGAAATCTGAAAACTGAGCCGTACTCGGTACCTTTGTAATAACAATCAGACTAATATATCTATTTTCTCGTTGGACTAGACAGACTAGAGTAAAAAAATAATTCACATTTTCCATCCAATCCCCAGAACTTGAAACTTTGAACATGGTTATCCGGTTTCATATTTCCCTTTTTTCATCCAGTCTAAATATTTTTAAGTCGATTGCGTCATTTGACAAAAAAAAAAAGGTTTCAAAAAAATAAACTTGACAAATTTCATATTCATAATAAAATAATAAGGGAGAATAATGATTAGGAAATACATTTTACTTCTTGTTTTTCATCATAAAATTCTCAATTTTTTTAAAATTTGAATTTTTTTTCTAAAAAATAAAACTATAAATCAAATATAGTTTTTAAAAACTAATAAAAACTTACTTATTATTAAGTTATTCGATAAGTGTAGTCTAGTCAACTGTAATTTACTAACTAGTAGGAGAGAAAAAATAATCCTTAAAAAATAAATTATTTTACAAGCTTTATTATAGACAGGAAATTATTGAAAATTGAACAGTAACTAGTAGTTGCTTTAGCTTAATTTAAATTTTTATAAAAAAAATAAAACATCATTTCATATGCAATTCTGAATATGATGCTTTGAAAATCTTTTTTTATGAATCTAGTAACGTATAAAATTTTAATCGTTGGATTTCATTCTACTGGTAGAAATGTGTCCATTTCATCAGTGAACACGAAAGTTTTGTATTACATTTTCAAAGTCATGAGTACAATCATAAATCAGTTGTTAAGTTAGTCATGGTTTAGAATTAATGTCAATTCACAATCTTTTATTCATATAATCAATATCAGTCATTTTAATGGTTCTGGACAATAAACATTACTTATCAATTCAAACTAATATTCACACTTTAAGCATACATGGATTCATAACGAATTAAAAATCAGGATAAGTTAACGGACAAATATTGAGTCTTAATAATGCATATTATATTACATCATAGCCACATGTATTAAACTTGTACTCAAAATGATTTGATATTTAATACGGTATTGCAAGTTTTACATTCCGACTAACTTATATAATATTCAGTTGCACTTGTTTAGATCAAATTGTTTATAAGGCCTTAACATTGTTTTCTGTGATTAGATACTTTGTTAAATGTATTTTTAGCTATTGCTGTAGATAATTTAGCTAATGCACAAGAACTGACTGCAGCTGAAGAAGAAGAACAACGTTTGGCTGATGAGGTAAATCATTTTTATTTATTAACTGTAATGAATTATTCTGTTTAACTAGAAACAAATTGTTAGATGAATATGTGATACGTTGTACTGATAACAAATATATATATATATATATATATATATATATATATATATATATAAACTTAAGGCTAGTTACTTCATTTGTATTGGTTGTTTGAATCTTACACAATGAAATCATGAGTCATTAATTGTTAGACTATCATTAGAAACCTGGAAGCATTAGATGGCCATTTCGTCATGGTATGGAATTAATCAGGAGTGAGCAACCACGACTCCTGAACTTCGCAGGATTCGGACCCAGGACCTTCGGTCTTGCTCGCGAAATCTTAACCTCTGGACCACAGGGCCGGCATCCAACGGTATTAGTCCCAAACTCTGATTGATCTAGAGCTTTTGCGCGACCTCGCCCATTTGTCTTTGGCAGTTACTTCCTACACCCAACAGGGTTGAATCTTCCTTTTGATAATTAAGACTGTAATTGATCAATCTCTTCAGAATATATGCATCCTGTGCGGACTGCTTTTAAATTCAAAACATTATTAGCAGAGGTGGATAAAACGAGGAAGTTTGAATCAAAAGGTACTGGATCCGATTCCCAGAGTGAACATGAACTCTGAGATGCAGGTAGATCCAGTTAAAAAGTCCCAAATAGGATTCCTCTGTTAACCACTAATCACCTCTGTTGATAATGTTCTTAAGGCTAGTTATTTCTAAAAGTAGGAAATTGCATTAGTCATGAATGATAAGTGTGTCTGTCATCAAACCTAAAAAATTAATTGATCTGTAATGTTTATGATTAATAGGTGATAACCGTTTAATCTTATTTAATAAAAGCCCACAATCTCATAATTTTATTTAAGCTTTAAAGTTAACCCTAACCTGCTGAAAATAACAGTAAAGTGTTATGAAACGTAAGGAAGAAAGTACAATTTTCTTGTCATCCATTCTAAGTGCATAATAAAATTCGTCAAAAATCTTTAAGCTTGATATGGAATCAAAATCCCATTGTTTATAGTTACTTTGCTACATCCATAAATCAGAATACTGATGATCCACATTTCGTGCAAAATAAAGAGTTGATTATGTAAAATGACTGAGTAGTATATGTCATACAACTACCAATTAAAGTAACAGCAATTAGTTAGATAGGTAAAGTACATTCTTCATTAGTTAAACAGCATGTAACAAGAATACTATATACCACCTGGTTTATTATTCAAATATCCCTTTGTTGAAAACATTTTCTATAAAATGACTACAAACAAGACAATTGTAATTTTACCGATATTGATGATCTCTTAATTTTCAAGTTAGCACAACCTAATTTCGCGCTTATAGACACGCTATAATTGAACTTTCCAAACGACAAGTTACTTCAATTGAGTTTACAACTTTCAAACTGGCCAGTCACTGAACGTTGCGTACTACACTATGTCGTCTAGAATGTTTACGTTTAAATAAACTTTATTAATTTGGTATGCAAAATGGCTATCAATTTAGAACAATTTATATTCATTTGAATATCATTGTAGTTTTAAACAAATAAGACAATGTACAAATGTTTATCACACTATTAAACTGGATATAATTGGTTTTAACTAACTAATTAAGTAACAGATATAAAAGATAAATTAAATATTATGGATATAATTAATTAATTTAAATAAACAGAAAAATATATATTAAATGAATAAATCCAATCAATAAATGGACAAATCAATAAACGGTTATGGGGACTGTTCAGTCTCACGGAAAGCATGAACTGATCAGTGTTAGATCACCATCCGGGACTTGGAAGCACTAAGAGACCTTTTCGTCCTAATATGAGACCCAATAGCAGTGCGCAGTCACGACCTGCAAGCGATAATCGAACGTACGACCTTCAGTCTCGCGCATTAACACTCAGCCTCATGACCACTGAGTCGACATCCAACGGTTTTAATGTCTTATTCAGATGCCAGTTCCTATTAGTGATCTAAAATTGATTAGATAATGTTTTCAAAGTTAGCAGCATGTAGACAGTCGGCTAGAAGCTCTGAATTCATGATTACTTGGTAGTTAGCATTCCACAGTAAGGCATATCTGTAATGTAGAGGGAACTGATAGTCCCTATGTTAGATGTACCCTTCTCTGATTCATGATATTACAAAAAAGAAAATTTATGTGCTCAATAAATAATAAATTATTCATTTGCTTTATTCATCACAGTGAATAATAATTTGTTTCAGTATGCTTAAAATGAAATAGCTTTTGAATAAAATAAAATAAAATCCTTAGTTCAGTTTTTCGATAAAAAGCTAACTCGACTTCCGTGAATATGACAGTTATGATTTTTTTTTGTCTGTATTTCTCTTTTGTTTTCTTCTTTTTTTTGCATAATTTTATTATTTCCATGTACAACTTTATACAATTGAGTAGGTCCCTGTCAATAGATTCACTTCGGTCTATTCTTAAATATATGTGTATAGTAAATTTTTTACAATGTCAATTCAAAATTTATATTTTATTGCAATCTCATTGATTCAGTTAGCGGAACAACAAGAAAATAATGGAAATTCAAAAACCAATTTAAATCAATCACAAACTATAGAAATTAATCAAATCAATGAAAGAAAATAGTAAGTTAGTATTCCATTGACATGATGAATTTAAAGTAAATTAGATTAAATAAAATCTTATTATTATTTCATGTTATAAACAGAATATATATAAAGATTATGAATGGAGTTTGAGAAAAAAAAATGATATTGAATTACTATGATTATTCGATTCAGAAATTTTTGTATAGCACGTTGCATCCTTTGAACTTGGTTTTATTTATTACATTTTCGACTAGATTTTCGATTACAGGTGAGTAGTGTCAAGTTCTTAGACTCATCTCAGCCTATTCTAGTGAATCAGTTATTGATTGTTTGCCCTCAAACGTCTCATTATTTCCATGTCTATTTGGATACTTATGGATTATAGTGTTATGTGAATCTTTGACTATTGGGTTGATTAAACCCCTTCTCATCGGCTGGTTGTCTGTTTTTACATCATAATGTCGATTTTAAGCTTTCTGAATATTCTGCGACTTTCCTCACTTCAGAATCTAGACATTTTCTCAGTAGTAGTTCAGTCGGAAGTTGTTTAAATGAAAAAATATGAGTAACTGAATATTCTTACTTGTTTCATCTTGTCTTTCAATGTATATTGAATCAGTCTTCCTTAACTCTTGGTCCTACGGCCTAAGCGAGTTAAAGTAAATGTACTAGTTTATGGACAAATTACTAATTTTCTTAGATCACTCATCCCAGTTATGTATATCAAGTCAACTATTAATGATTATAAAGGATTCTACGACAATCTATGCAATTTGTTCTACTAAAAAAATAACATTTTTAGAAGGAATAAAGATTATGTTTTTTTAAGACAAATAATGGAGTTAAAGATTACGGATACTAGTATATTAATCAACAACTCTTTTTAAAAGAAATTACATTCTTTGATAAATCTGATTAAAAAGTAGATGTTAATAGATAAATGTTTTTCCTTAATCAGCTGACTATGTCTGGTTATTCATAGAAGTTGAGTAATAGCTAATGCAGCTTCTTCATTCTATCACAAACTATTAGGGAGCAAGTGTCGTTCAACAATTTCAGTGTTATCAGTAATTAACCAGCTAACTTCAGTGTATGGCAAAGACAAACTACAAATTATTCTGATCTCGACAAAAGCCCTCTAACCGAATTGTTAGTGTGAGATGATAATAACTTTCTTCAAGATACATTCAAAACTTTAGTAGGAAATCATCCCGGTAGAGTTCATAAACGATGCCTTCGAAGAAGACATTCATTATCTATGGTATCATTCAGCCGCTGAACTATGTCGCAAATGTTGATTATTCGATTTTACCATATTGATGTATATAACGCTGCAACAATGTGACCTGCTATTCATGGGTTTGATTACCTGAACGTGCAGTGCTAACGAAACAAGGTCAAACATAATTGTTTTTAAGTCTCCTGCATCTTAAATTTACCCTAACTGATGTGAATTTATGATTAAACAAGAACTCATAGAAAGTTAACTGTTTAAATGTGACTTCCAAATTATAATTACTATTTATCGGTAATTGTATCATTTTTTTCTATGAAACGTTTTATAAAGTTCTGGATTAGAAGAATACGGGAAATCTGTTACAGCACAAATGGGAAATAAATACTGTGATAATTGTAAGTTAATGTTTCCTTATTTCTATAAAATAATGAAAGTTAATCAAAGTAACTAGTTTTTCATAAACTGATTACTCAGAGAGAAAAAAGAAACGAATATTCTGCAATATCAGACAATCATACAAATAATCATTTTGGTAATTAATAAAATATCTGAACATTACAATAATATAGAACATTCACATATGTTTTATTACAAGTAAAATACTATAACAAACTATAACCCAACATTGATGAAGAACACTTATTTGAATTAAACAAGTCCTACAGTTATCTAAACGTATCTAGACTAATGTTTAGATCACAACTTAACTAACATAATTCGAACAGTATTCTAAAATCGGGCGAGCATGACAATGGCAACCACTCAATCATCAGTCAGTGTGTAAACAGCCGAATCTTATAGAAATTGGTCACTTAGGACTAGAATAGTTCACCGATATTATTATTTCTGATTTCAAAATACTACTAAACGTGTTAGAATACCTCAGGCGTTGACAGTTTCCTTGAAATCTCTATAACACAAAGTCTACAAGTTCCAATAATATTCTGAAATCACCACAAAAGGTTAGTGTGGTTCGTAAGGTATCCAACCAAGGAAGTAGTATTTTATTTCTAGATAACATCATCAAGATATGAATGACTAATCACACTATGGATATGGAAAACATTAGACACAATTTCTATTGATAAACTGAAATTAAAATCATCCTAACTAAATAACTTATATTTTTCAATAGATATATGTACAGAGAGATAAAATTATCAACTACTAATAAGGTGTCGTTTACATCTGTAGAATAAAATAACTTTTTCCCATCCTCATTTTCATCTAATAGACACTAAGCATAGAATATTTACTTTAATTTTCTATATATCCTTATATAACCTATTAATATTTATTAAAAAGCGCATTCAAGAAGTTTCCAGTTAACTGAGTTTCTTCATTCATCAAATTTTTAAAAAATTTCATCTACTTTTAAATTTGTTACAAAAAAAATTGGAATTATATTTTTGTTTCCAGTATTTCTTCATTCCACTGTCAAATGTTATTGTCATTCTTATAACATTGTTATAAACTGAATAAAAAAGCATATTGATTTACTAACATACTAGTCTTCATTGATCATCTATGCCTAAAAGTAAATTTAAATGGAATAATATTAAATTATTCATTGAAATTCGTCTAAGTATGAATAACTTATTAGGAATCTACTTTTCAGAATACAAAGCACATTCTCTATACTTCCTGATACTAGAATGGTGAAACAAAAACCTGTAACTAGGTTGGTTGATTTGTGACCTTCAATTTCAATATTTAATTGGTTATTTTCATTAACCACAGTTCCATTGTATGGACTGAATACTCAATGGCTGCTATTGTACATTATATATATATATATATATATATATATATATATATATATATACAAAGATCACAGTAACACGTAGACCACAGTACACCTCGGTACTTTTGATTAAGAAATAAAGCTGAGCAATAAAATAATTTCAGAAAATGCATTTAGCTGCTTAAATTGATATAAATAACTGTAGCTAAGTAACTGATGCCCATAAAAATTTGAACCTATTGATGTAATGTTTTAGTGACTAGATAACCAGCTAAATTTAAATCAGATTTATACAGCGAAACTGCAAACGAGTACATAAACAATTTGACATAAACATTTTTAAAATTCATTGAAACGTAAGGGATTGTAAGATTTTTTTATTTCCAGGTCTGTAATTAATCGAGAAAATTACTGTGAGAAACTTGAAAAATTTAAAACACGTTCACATTTTACTTTTCTATATTTCGTTAACTTTCTATATGAAGAGACAATGAAGGCTGTAATATTGGAATAACTGAGATTTTTTCGGGCTACTTAATGTTCTTCATGAACTACTACAGTATCAATCATGTGCCTTTTATCCGTTTCTAATTCTGATTATACAATGCTTCGTAAAATAGTGGAGTATGAATATTCACTTTGTCTCTTTCAATGTATAGCTGATAGGATTTTTTAGTTCAGTAGATCACCTTTTTATCGTATATCAAAGAATTCGTTATTTCATTGTTTCAATCGCGATACAACGATAGTTCATGTAAAGTGGTTTGAATTTTATTTCAACATGACTTGTTATTCTCTTCAAACAAACAGTCTAGGAAAATATATACCAACTCAATAGTCTACAAGTTTAGTTCTCGAGAGCGAGAATCTGAGGTTTTTGATCCAATCACTGGCAGGTTCGTAAATGCATACCACTAAGAAGCCCCATACTATAGCTGAACTAATGAAGCACTACTTCCTTGTTTTTAATGTTCGCATAATTAAGATCAGTGATTGATATAAACTACAAAAAATATATCAACTGAGAAAGGAAAAGTTATGAAATGAAGCATACTACTTTAGGAAAATATTAACAAAATATAAAAGTATTTTAGTCGCCCGGAATCGGATATTTTTTATGAACAATTAAATATGCTATGAAACAAATCTATCATCTAATTTTTGTACATCGTACTTAGGCGAACCCCGTTTGTACGACAGCGGTAATAAGAAGCCAAATCCATACTCGGTTGGATGAGTCTATTTCACACAATTGTTCATGTAGATAGAAGTGAGAAAAGCTATGTGAAGTGAAGCGGCGAAGAAGATTGGTTCAACTCAATGTGTCGATGCATGACTAGCTATCTATAGTCAGACTATATAAGCCAGACATGTGATAAGCGAAGTGAGCAATGCATACACACTCAGATAAAAACAACGAAGTTATGGGCGAATAACTAACAAGGTTGAATAACTCGAGAAGAATGGAATGATTAATTTTCCTAAAGGCTGGGGCAAGCCCTACAGGCTCAGCGCATTAGTACACACTACAGTATATTAAAGAGGGTAGATACAAATGCATGTTTTCCCACCTTACCAGTCAGCATATGATTACACAACCTAAATAAAATAAATCAAAATAGTTCCGCTCTTTAGTAGTTTCCTCAAGTTCACACTTATTTTAGAATCTTATCTAATTCCAGGGTTGTTATTAAAATATAAAATTTTAACAAATACAAACGAAACAAAAATGTAATGTGTGTAGAGTTGTCAAGGTATTTGTAAGCAAAAATTTCGATCAGTAATTAAATAATGTGAAGTTTCAAACTCCATAGCTGTTAACTGAAACATTAGTTGTCATAACTTGATACTAAGTAAGATGACACTCTGACATTTAAACCTAACATAGATTCAATTTATACTTGAAACATCGGAGTTGGCCTTCACAAACTGCAGATAAGAGGTAATTTTAAGTTGTCGATTCTGCCTCTAACCAATTACAAATAAACTGTAAGCATTAAACACATTTATGTGATTTAAGACAATTGTTTATCTGTGGTATTACTTGCTAGTATAATTATTATCTGCTGAAATATTCTGAATTTTAAATTCATTAACAATGTTCGCATACTTGGTATATTTTATTTTACAGATAGTACAATGCAGAAATTTCAGACAGATATAGAACTAGGTCGGGAGCCTGAAACACAAGCTAATCAAGATTCTCAAACACAGCATCAATTATATGGGAAGCCGATTCTTCCTTACAGTTCAATGTTTATATTTTCTTCAACAAATCCGTAAGTTATTAATTGGGAGAATTTTTTCAAAAGATCTCATATCATACCAATGAAATACACATGCGTAATGAACCAGTGTATAATGAGTAATCTTTACTTTTCGGAATATTAAGTAAATATCTGTTTCTAGTATATTTGAGCTTTAAGTCGAATACAATAATATTTGAAGTACTAGATGTTATTTAACTGAATACTATCTAAAGCCAATATTAAGTCGAAAAGTTCTAGTTGTCATTGTCTAACAAATAAAGTACACACTAGAATCTATTTATTTGTGTATGTTATTGATTTATATTAAAAATCTAAGTCATAGCACGCTACCAGTTCGCTGAAATCAAAATCACCATCTAACAGATTAACACAGGATAGTTCAAGGGTTATTCATATAACTACTGATGAAAAGTGTCATAATTTGCGCTTGTAAAATTTATTGGCAGTTAATCCAAAAAACTGATTACGACCGCATTTATATATTTATTGATCGACTCTTAGCATCATTGTGGTTGTTGAGGTTGACAAATAACATATTTTCATACATCGTGAATAATCCACAAAATGTAACTGACGAATCGGGTTAAAGGTTAAAATTTATACAACTCGAGTGAAGCACCATTTAGAATGGTGGGCTGAGTCAACGGAGTAGTTTCAGTGATCTATGATATTGATTTCGCTTCCGAATCGCCTACGGTATTGGTTGGTTATTAACAAACAGTGATTTTTCAGTTCAACCTGATTGACCGCAAATTAATCACGCAGAGTCTTGTGACCGCTGACCTACATCATGCACCCAGGTGCCAAACCACAATTCTGATTTTAATTTAGTTTGCCACTAACTTTACAGTCTAATGTTTCTGAATTAGCCAATTAGATGCCCGACTAGTATTACAGACTTTGATGTGACACCTAGGAACTTCTTGGTCCACTGCCTTCTAGCACTTACGTCTATGCCTAGCTTATGAGTTCAGGAGTCAGCAACTAACCTCTACGAGGTTGTTTAAATACGGTCATACCAGATTGCAACACACCAGAAAATAAAAAATAACAATTAAACATGAATAAGTCAAAAATGACCAAGTAGAAGAGACAGTAAATAATAAACTAGCAATTAAATTAAGAATGGTAGTTAATTGGCCAGCCAAGCGCTTATGATAAACGAAAAGTTTAGCTCGAATCAGCAAACCGAAAGTAATGAGTTTTATTGGGATTCCAGCGATTTCTAGAACTTATACTGAAATGAATACGAATTGATGAGTTCTAGAAGGTAAATTATAAAAGAACATAAATATGTTCAGTTCTTAAGCTTGGTAGAATTTACTGAAAGCTTATGGTCAGTCAATTGTATTTTGAATATAGTTGGATCCCCATAGAATTTTCGCGAAATAATTATTTGTGCTTTATGACATATTATTTCCAAATATACATACATAATAACTTCATTGTTTATTTCTAAACATTACTGTGAAAAGTTCAATATTCAGTCGATGTTTACGACTTACTTTCATTATTTTATTTTTCTGGTAGTGTTCGTCGATTCTGTCATTTTGTGGTGAATCTACGTTATTTTGATCTATTTATTATGATTGTCATTGTATCCAGTAGTCTTGCATTGGCTGCTGAAGATCCAGTCAGTGAAAATAGTATACGAAATTGTTTATTGGAATATTTTGATCATGCTTTTACATGTGTATTTGCGATTGAAATGTTACTAAAGGTAAGTGAATCAAATCAATGATTTTCATATGAACAGGTGCACAAATAAAAGTTGACAGTATATTAGGTTTAAATATCCTCATCATAATTATGTACAAAATAGCTCTTTTTGTTTCGTTCTCCGATGTTTATTCCTTGAGCGAACGTTACTTTGATCATCAAGGAGTGTTGTTCATACCTAGAGGCTGACCTATGTCCGACTTTACTTAACGGTCTTGATTTCACACTGCTGAGAAACTTCAAACCCCAAACAAAAACCTGTACAGTACACACATTTTTCAAAGTTATATAAAAATCAACTTCAAACCAATTCGCTTGGTAATTCAAGTTTAAAAAAATTGAGAGTATTAAAATTGTTTCATCATAAGCTTGTCATCCAATATATTCCATGTACTTGCCACGAGCTAGCATAAACCGATTAATTTCTCTGCGCTCGCTCCTTGAGATTCATTTCTTATGATGATGCTTGTTGAGGTGATTTTATTTGACAGGTTATCGAGAAGAGAAACGAACTTAAGTTGGTTCTCTGTGATACTCCTGATGATGAGACCTGTCGACTTGCATATATTCTATTTCTTCTGTTACAAACCACCCACTTCTGCAGGCAGTTTCGGAGCCAAGACAGAAGTGGGTCAGTAACGCCCATCTTCATTACCTTCGTTATTAGGAGTGTATGTAGTACTATGTTCAGAACTTTTGCAACGTCAATAAATATGGCATGAACTCGTATCGTTTGGTCACTGGAAGCTGTTCGGATTTACCTTGCTGTAGATAAACTCAATTGTCTGGATCTCGCTTTCTCAGCACTTCGTGGTGAACATAGTTCCTCTCCATATATTTCCTCATCTGTTCACTAATCAGTTCTCTCATTAACTTAGATATTATTGACAGTAATGCGACTGATCTGTAGTTGATTGGAGCTTCACTATCTCCTCCTGTGAAGGTGTAGTGTGTCGATTTACTGCGTGTTCTTAAACTCGGTAATTAGCTCGTCCAGACAATCATTACTACTAGCGTCTGACGGCTTATAAATCAGAGAGTGAACTCATAGTGTTGAATACGTTTATTTGGAACACACCACAAAGCGAAGCGGAGAAGCAATGTAGAGAAGGCTAATGAGCCAACTCCTAGGATTACAATGAGAACGAATGGGCGAAGGAAGCGAATGAACAGGCGAAGCGCATTGGAGAAGGCTAATGAGCCAACTCCCAGAGATTGAGCATGACTAAGAATATATAAGACAGACATGCGACAAGCGAAATAGGCACACATGAATAAAAGCGACGAATAGTTGACAAGGTCAAATGACGAGTGGGTCACGTCATGTGAGCTCATACAAACCAGACAATAATAAGAACGAATGGTACATATAAAATGTTGCAATACAAATGGCTTGGTTAAATGAATTAATCGAAAGGGCTTAACTAAGTTAGATGTAAGCGAACTGGAATATATATGGAGGCACTACAAAGGTCAGAATTAGAGTAACTTGTTTCCATTCCCTTGGAAGTTAGTGTGAGTGCCCGAACGAGTTACATTCCGGTGAACTTAGGGGTTCCGCAAACTGTCTCAGGAGTATAAGGTGGTGTTGCTACATTCTGGTGACCTTCCTGGGAGCAGGGATGCTGGTTTTCTCAGTATTGAACCGAGTGTTATTAGATATTCTTTCGGCTATCAGGTGGCCTAAGAGTTGAGGTATGTTCCATGCTCGTAGGTTGTTAGTTGAACGATTCAGTGAAGTCGGCATCAGAAAATCCCTCCATCTATGAGTTAGTGAAATCTTCGCCAGTTGGACCATTAAAAGAACAGATACCCTGGTGTGCATATCTTCGTTAAGACATTGGTCTGTAAAGAGATTTTGGTAGCTTGCATTTTGGCTGCAAGTAACGGCTACGATCAAAGTCCTTCAGTGAGACCTTTTTACAGGCCTTCCTTTAGGCCATTACGAAGAGCTTTAAGGCCTCACTTAACACAGGATCTACTCTTTCCACGCGTGTATTTATTCTGAGTCTATTGTGTAGGTCAGGTTTCCGAATGGTGTCCATCACTACCTTCTGGCAGTTATTCACTGTAAGCCTTCACCACTCTCGTAGACATAGGGCGTGTTGAAGAGGCTCCCTTATGTAGCCTGTCCTAAGGTAGCTAAGGTAGGTATCACCCCCCAAAGTATCTCGTTTGCGATCACGTTAAACATGACTGTTTCTTGATCACTACTTCCCATCTGTGCGTAGATATGGAAATCCTCGACTAGAAGCTGATCTTTTGTCGACAAATGATCTAAGTTTAAGGGTTTTCCGTCCAGATGTGGTAGTTGCAATATTACCTGGAATATCTTAGCTCTCTAGGAGTTAACACCTGTGAAAGTCCATTCGCATTGAAGCAAGACCACTATGATTTTGTCACCTCAGTCAATTCTGTACTTTGTGGTGTCGAGAGTTTAAAGTAGCTGTGTATGTATATCACCTATTCGTCTTCTGATTTGCGTATCCTATCGCATCAGAGCATGATTGACCAAAGTTAGTCTATGAACAACTACATGATAACTATGTACTCCTTTTTAAAGGCTTTCACTAAGATCCCAAATTCTTAGGTTTGATTAACAGTAAGGTCATAAGTGAGTACTGATGATAATCTCCTTGTTAGAATGAAATATCCGTCCAGAAGTTACCTAGTTAAAGTACACTGTAAACAAGTTATACTTGTTATTTTACTCACAATAACTAAGTTCATTCTATTTGAACTTAATTTCGCAGTTCTAAGTACCAAGGCTGAAAGCAAACTTTATGAAGTTATCGACATTTCGGAGCATTAATAATCGAATCCAGAGTGTAATGGTACTTTAAAACAATTAGTCCCTTTAATAAATTTTGATAGAACAATGAGAAGACGTAACTGATCTGAAAAATGTGATGTATTTACGCCATACATTCCGAACAATCTGATCACACATATTTGTCAAGGCATTTTATATGAAGGTCAATTAAATAAAAGTTCAAACAGACAAAAAGTGATTATTGTAAATGAAGGGGAGAGAAAATCAACATATTAGAGAACGAATAAGAAAGGGTAGGAAATTGTCACATTACCCTAGGCCGTAAGTGGCTTAAAGATTACTAGGGTAAATTCAATGTTATAACGAGTTGTTTCTGTACTCATAAGGGGGGTTTTAATTTACGAATGGCCAAAGCTTCCTTCAATATTTTTATACATTGTTTCGAAGGCTGTCTTGATGTTAGTCTTATGCCCTGTCTCAATTATGTTTCCTACGTCATGTCTAAACCAAGAGCGTAAATAATAGGATTACATGAGATACACGAATTTGTTGGCTTAGCTAATAATTTTATTCGGAAATCAGTCGGACAAGAAGATAATAAAATAGATTTGATCAAATTTATCACAATAATTCTCATTACCCTAAATAATATACAAAGTATATTAAACATGGGAAGCATGTAATCCGTATAACATTTTTAAGAGTTAATGTTATTCAAAACTCTTCATATCTTAAAGAAACAATGAAACAATATTAATTAGACCATTTGAACAAAAGCATTCGTTACTAACTTACATACATTCCTGAGGTTCCGCTAACTGATGATGTCCAACTTCATCTGAATTCAGATGAACACATGATTGAAGCTAAAAATCTTCACTAGTAACAAGGAACTATTATGTTTATTGTTTTAAATGTAGGAACTTCATTGACAGTTGAAATAAAAATTCTATTGTTAAGTGAAGGGTATAGACTGTAGAGAACGGATTAAGAGCAAAACTAAAAAGATTCAGATTTATTTCAATAACATAAAAATGTTCACTAGGTCAAACTTATTGTAACAAGCTTTTTCAATACTTTTTCAATTGTATCGCTGAACCTGAACACAGATATTGATTATTATGACTTATCACATTTATTTGAACTATTAAATATATATTAACATTTTATCTTTATTTTATAATTTGTAACGATACACAGTTAATTGATCTTGGTGTATTTCTGCATCCATATTCTTACTGTCGTGATACTTGGAATTTATTGGATGCTGCTGTAGTAATCGGTGCATTAATATCGTTTTTTCGGTGAGTTGAATGAAGATCATTTCTATAAGAAAAGGTTTCATGTTTATTAACCATATTTTAGGATCTTGTAATAAGATAACAAGTTTGTAGAGATTGATGAATTGGGAGTTTGTTTTCATAGGGGTAGAACCACTAAAAGCCAACAGTGTTGCACCTTATGCGTCCTAGTGTGGGAAACCTTAACAGTAATTACTAACAAATACTCTTAATATGGTTGTCTTTACCGGTTATAGCTTCAATCACTAGCTTTTACTGACTTAAAAGTATCATGTTCATTAAGAAACTTGAAGATCATATACTCAATTTCGTTTCAAGTAGTGGGTCTACTAAGTGTTGAGGAGTCTTAAACGAAGGCCAAACAGCTATCTGGTGCTTTCTGGTTTTTATCAGTCTCCCAGTTGTTGTCAATTTGCAGTGGAATCGTATCCCTATTTTGTTGACTTATTTTGAAATCCAGTCAGTCGAAATCCCAGTGACTCTGTGGTAACGCTTCTAATTGTGGGTCAGTAAAGTAGGCTGAAATCTAATAGGGAAAATTCATTCTCTCTGAACTTTAAATATGCCTTACTGACAAGCTTCGACTAGGAAAAATCAGTTCATCAGATTTCTGACAGGTCACACCAACTACCTATTAGCTGTCTGATTGTTACCTGACTTAAGTTTGATTCTGGCTTGACATCTCATTTATGTAAAACAAATAAACAGAGCTTACGTAATAACCATTCATTCACTGACTATCAACATCAGACTTAACATATTTGATAATCGACAAATATACATGACCTACATGCTTACAGACGTGCACAACTTAAAATAAATGTTTGAGCAAATTTATGATTCTTGATGTATTGAATGAAATTTTATAACGTAAAGCTGTAACTGTACTAGAGTAAGGAGTAACTATCCAAAATATAGTGTTAGTTTAAAATTAAACTTGAACTAAATCTTTATGTTATGCATTCGTAAGCATCAGTGATAGGTCGAAACTTTCATGCAACCACGTTCAACTAACATAAAAGCATTTGAATGTCAAATAAATTGTAGACCTAATCTGAAAAGTTAGTCATCATCAATTGGTTGATTTCATGTATACTAAATTATTTAGCGTCGATAATATACGTAGAAAACAATACAACATAGTATTCACCAGAATAAGCAATTATTAGGAAAAAAATCTCATTAAATTTCTTGAAATCATAAACCAATCTAAGTTAAAACCTTACTGAAAATCTAGAAGCACTGAATGGCTCTAGTATAGGACTCTTTAGCAATGTATACTCACGACCCCTTTACGTGAGACCAAGCGTCATGGGTTTGACCCTCACATATAGGACTGTGAGTGCATACTGCTGAGAAGTCTGATATCAGGAGGAAATAGCCATCCAGATATGTGTATTAATTTAACCTATGTCGTTATTAATATGATCATTATCGTTATCAGTTTTTAGATTCTTTTTCTGTGTTAATTCCCCTTAGTAACCTAAATCACATTCATTTTTGATTTCTTTTTAAAAAATTCTTCATCTCTCCAATGGTCGATAAAGAGCTTATACTTTGAAAGGTAAAGCTGGCCATGGAAGTAGGTAAGTATGATTATAAGTTGATTTATCAACCATTTCTGTGTTACAATAATATGACGGAACAACAATCTTCATATAAAATGCCTTGACAAGTATATATGTAGCGCAAATACATCACATTTTTTTAGATCGATTACGTCTTTTGACTGCTCTATCAAAATTTATAAAAGTAACTAATTGTTTTAAATTTGAAGATGACAAGATGAAGTAGAACAGTGAAATGTTTTCGTTGTTTTAATTAATCGAAATCATATTCAAACCACTGTCAAACACTGAACACTGACAATTATCCCCTGGCAGTAGGAATTTCTAACCTTTATTGATAAGAATTTAAGTGTTCGATTGTAAAATTTAGTAATAAGAGTTTCGTTGAATTAAGTATGCATTTAAATGAATGTTTTTGAGATTTGATAACTTTAACATAATGGTGACCGTCAAATTTATTTCATTCTGGTCTTTTATGATTGACTAGTAGCAGCCATAGAGTAACTGGAAATTTTGTCATCCATGTTCGCAAAGAGAAAAATAAGTAGACTGCAACTCAGCGAAAGTTCCGTACGAAATATTGTTTTCAAAAATCATTGAATATTTACACTGAATAATTAGATAATTTTTAGAAACGAATGAAAAAAACCCGTGTAGACAGGACGAACGGGAAAAAACATCATAGTGCACATTCTGTAGATTGATAAATTAACAACTGATGACAAAATTAGGAGTGTTCTGAATGGTTCAGTGACTACTCAGCAGATATTTTAGCAATATCTTTACGGTTAGCTCGATCAATGTTTTATTCCTTAAGTTAGGGCTGGGAATCCCGTCTGAAGTACGTTGATCTAGACAGCGGTAACAGTTACAGACCAAAATCTAAACTCATAGCCGGTTGTATAAATATGCACATAATAAATGATTTATATCATTTAGTACTTTTCATAGGGTGATGTTTGAAGCGATCGAAATTAGCACCGAAAATCTAACTGTTTAAAAATACAACTTAATAATTCTGAAGAATAAAACATCATCTGCTCAATAATAAATAATACTAAATAATTCGACTAAGTCAAATAATTCTACAGTCAAACTGTATTTCTACTTTAAAGTATGTCCAAGAGATCTTGTAATATTACCTATTTTGAGACATTTCAAAAATAGTCCTTCTTGAATGTATAATTCATAATTATGATCATTATATTGTCATAAAATTGATAGTTGTTTTACGAGTGACAGTTTTGGTTTAGATAATAAAATTAATTTATTCATTCATTGAAAAACAGTCACACTGATTATTGTTTCAGTGTAACGATCTTCCTTCTATCAATAATGACATTCATTTTCGCCAAACAGATAACTGATTTGTTATCGATATTAGTACACGAAAAATCTATTTTTAAAAGTTACTACTTGTAAAAAGCACTATACTATAAAATTATAATCAAGAAAAGAGAATTTGAATTGATTGTTATAAGTGAACATAAGTTTTCACCATGCTTTATAAGGAAGTGAGATATATCTAACTCAGAGAAAAGTTTAAGTATTTGACAAAATAAACTCCAAGAGTTAGAGAATATATGGAATCTTGGTATCTAGATCTTTTTGCAGTTAACAGATATTATCCAATTCAGGAACCCATAGTGGAAAGATCTGCCAATCACAACACTAGAAGTCAGTCGGTAGAACTAGTTAACTTGAGTCAAAAGGCAAATAAAAACAACAAGACCTACCAGAACAGCCTATCATGAACAAGATAACCGGATGAAACGATGTAAAGCTTGTAGGAAATAGAATTTCGCCATGAATTAGGCTCTGAAGATGCTGTCACGCATGATTATTAAAGCTCATCATTAAACCGTCTGGATGAGAAGACTCAACATCACTAAACTTATGGAACTAATTAGAAATGCGCACCCACTGCTGTATCGAGGACCAAAGCCAAGTTCTTCATTGTAGGATTGACCAAATTAAGTCTTCAGTGGAGCAACTTTTTGGAAGTACAGCATGTAAAGTCAGTCTGCATTAACACCAGTTGATTGTCAGAATCAGCCGGAACCATTAGAAATAAGTTCAATAATTCAACACCATACTTCATCTTATATTGTTTATCAAAAAAATCTTTTAATAAATAATACCTATTTGAACAGCTTTAAGTAAGAGAATAGAGAAATTCACAGCATTTTGTACTAACTGTTTCAAAATCTAATTAAAACAAAAGTTGCATTCGAACATATTGTAGATCATGACATATTTACTGTACCAAATAAACTAGTTACTGTAATAATGATTTATTCTCTACATTCTTATCATTTTCCAACTACTGATTAGCAGTAATTAATTAATTGGTCATTGAGTTATGGAGTTTAGTGATTTTACACATAGAAATCACCAATCAATCATTGTTAGACCACCATTAGAAACCTGGAAGTGTTGAATGACCACTTCGTCCTGATATGGGACTGATTAGCAGTGCACATCCACGACTCCTGCAACTCGCAGGATTCGAACGCACGACCTTCGGTCTTGCGCACTAACTCTTAAAGTGTGGACCACTGCTCCGGCATCCAACGGTGTTATTTTCTAAATCTGATTTTGCGCGACCTCACCTATTTTTCTTGGGCAGTTACTGCCTACATCCAACAGGGTTAAATTCCACTGGTCACGTCCTCTCACTAGAACTCCGATAATTTCCTCAAGAAGCTAGTCACTTGTGAGTAGATTTTACAAATCCTGAGCGGTGCAGGAGTCATACATGCACACTGCTAATGAGTCCCATACCTGAACGAAATGGCCGTCCAGTGCTTCCAGGTTTCAAATGGTGGTCTAACAATGATAGCTATGTGTAATTTGTTCTTATTAGCAAACTTTATATTTCACTAATATCACTGAAATAACGAAAATTTTGAAGAACTGCAAACAAACAAATGTATGCAACTGCATCCAGAATCAATTCAGTAATTAATTAACTTCTGTCTTGCATTTAAACGAATAATCGAATCTAGTAAGACTGTGTTACACATTATTTTAAAAATCTTCTTCCTTATGATGATTTTTCTTTTTTCCCTTGTTGTTTCACTTTGTACTGTCAAGTAAAAATTTGAGTACAATAAAATCATTACGTGTACTTCGAGTGTTAAGACCATTGAAAACTATTCGAAGAGTACCGAAATTAAAAGTAAGTTAGATTTACTTTAACACTAATATATGTATTAATAGTAACTGGATATTTATTATTATAGAGGGCTCCTAGAGTTCAACTGTGTTAGATTTCAGTCACTTATCCAATCAATAAACCTACATTACCTGTCTAATCATCTAAACTCCATTATAATACTGTCGCATTGAAAAAAGATTAGATTTTGTTCTACCAAATAGTACTATCATGTTTCATTATTACTTATAGGAATAAAAAATAACTATAACTAAAATTAAACCAAGTTTACTAAATCTAACAAGTGTCAGAGCAGTGCCAACAACAATCATAAAATATTAAACCATGAACAACTTGTATTCTACTGAGTATTTTTTTTTGAAGCTTTGAACATTAAAAACATTCAAAAATCTAACCATGACTTCACCAAATGTTATGACTGAACTAGAAACTTTTAAACTGATATTATCAGTCTGTAAATTCATACCAAAAGTTAATTATCAGTGATGAAAAGTGTGTTTTTCATTCACTACATTTGCCAGTTTAATGGTTATTGACAATAATCTAAGTGTCAATGCTTGTTGTCTAAACTGGTAGTCCACAGCTTGATTTTATCGATATCAAGTTTTACATAGTGAATTGATAAATGCTGTCGAACAAGGATGAAACAACGTATCCAGCAATTTCTGGTTAACCGAAAATTTCTCATTCCATACCAGTCTTTGAAGGTTATTGCTAGCACAAATAATTTCAAAATTAGTAGATTATTTGAACTCAAACAGTAACGATGATCCAGTCCTTAATTACCAATAACTATTAGTTAATCTATACTTTTAGATTTTATTGCGTAATATATATCTATAAAAATTCATTAACTCTGAATGTTTATTTTCATTCATTTTATTAATTTATTTTACTTTTTTATTTTTTCAGGCAGTATTCGATTGTGTAGTCAGTTCATTGAAAAATGTTTGCATAATTCTAGTTGTATATATTTTATTTCAATTTATATTCTCTATTGTGGCAGTTCAATTATTTCAGGGAAAATTTTTCTATTGTAATGATTTATCAAAACTTACAAAAGAAGATTGTCAGTAAGTTGATTGGAAATTAAATTTTTCAATATTTCTATAGTATAAACTTATTTGTTGTTAATAATTTTTCTGTAAAAGAAAAAAATTTGGAGAATAACAAATAATCTAAAGTTTTTTTACAAAAAAAAATAATTTATTCAAGTGGTACTTGAAAATTTCTTTCGTTTATTCATATCTTCAAACTACTGTCTTTATTTAGGTTAATTAAATCGATCAGTAAGTACGTCATTTAATAAACTGAATGACTTTCTCAATGTTTAAGTAACCAGTTAGATAGATTGTATGGTTTTTCAAATTGAACATAGAGAGATTTTGTTTTCAATTTGTATCATCATTTTAAACAATTGCTGGCATTATGACTACTTTCTGTCAAATGTGTCTCGGTATGTAATCGCATCTTCCGTTTTTTAAAAAAAAACGATTCTCGATAACCATTCATGATAATATCTTGAGAAAATGGGCAAGCTAATATTACGCAGTTTTGTACCGAACGATAAAATATCTAAAATCTCTTGAGATCCCCATGAAATCTCTTTTTCTTATCTTACGTAGATCGTTTTATTGCTTTTATTGTATTTCATTTCACAGGCTTAACTTTCACTATCTCATTGAACAACACTAATAGAGCCTAATTCAGGTACTAGTCAGTTTTATACAGTTATTTTACGAATACCAAATCGATCCATTCTGAAGACGTTCTACTTTATTGACTGTCTATGAAGGCTTTATTGTCTTTGTGTACATTCGCAGTCCCGTTGAACGCTAGTTAGAACAGCATTACGATTGGTTGATGACGTCTAAATAGTTTGATGGATGAGATCTGTATCAACATGTTTATTGATTTAAGAATGACGTAAATGTCAGGATTTCAAAACTTCAATGGCACTTATTGGTTTTCCTTCGTCTTTAATTTGTACTTACTTTATGATTCTATTCTTGTGTTCTTTAGATCTAAAAACTTTTGTAACCTCTTTATATCTACTTTAAATAATGAGGAAAAAATTAGAAGGCTCAATCAGTCGATCTTAAGCAAAGTAATATTCGGCACACATTTTTATCGTGTCAGGTTGTCACACTTTATAATCACAGTGAAATAAAATTATCCAAAGAAGTAGTAGACTTAGAAAATATTTAGTATGAACTGGCAATGAAGGTGGGCAAATAAATCTGCATTATTTTGACTAATACTGGTCCATGTTGCCTAGTCTTTAACCACTAGTAAAAATAATCGCGCTAACCCCAATCAAATATTTTGCACTTACAGATACTCATCAGTTCAATAGTATTTTTATCTTAAGAGTAAAGCAATACAAGTTATTGGTTGCATCAAACGAAAACGACATATGAATTATTTTACTACTATGAAACATCAACCATATGAAAACTATATGCTGATGCACTGACTACATTTTTTGGGAATTTTATAGACCTAAATGCATCAATATTACTCAATTTTATTTCAGTTCAATAATCAAATGTCTAGATAAATTAGTTTTCATTAAAACTGTTCATAATATTCAATTCACCATTCTACATAATATAATTTAACTTAATTTATATTCAAATACAGTTGTCAAAAATCATTTATAGATCTGTGAGGATATTATCTAATTAAATAAATCGTATAAAACACTTTTGTTAAATAATTAAAGGTTAAATTCAACTTGATAGGTAAACTGTGTATATATATGTTTAAAATGTCTGCAAAAATGGTAATTTCACTGATGGCTAGATAATTAGCTAACAGTCCTATTTCATTTATTTCCTTGTGTTCCCTTAGGGAGTAATAACAGCTCCAGTAGTAGTAGTAGTAGTGGTATTAACTGTCAGTCTTTCCGTTCGAGTTCATAAATTCGTGCTTAATAAATAAAGTTAACTAATTTGAATTGGATGTAATTAGCTCCAAAACTGTAACACATGAAAGTGTAACATCACTTGTCTAAGGCATCATGATCTCACTTCTTTTCTTATTACTGTTATAAATGATAAGCCAGTGACTTACCAAATGTTTCGAGTTTATATTCTTAGTTATTTGGAAAACAAGAAAAGTAGAATTTATTCAAGGAGGAATAAATGATTATTTGCCTTCAAAATCTTTACTTTTATTTTATTTTTATAGCTCTTTTTGATGTTGTTGTTTTATTACACAACGTATTACTTTATGTTTAAAAAAAAAGGATCAACAACTTCTTTACTGTTTTTTTTTCATTTACTTATTTCACAGAGGTTACTTCTTTTCATATGACGATAGTCTAGTTCCTGTTGTAAAAGCTCGAGTATGGAGTTCACGTGACTTTCATTATGATAATGTGATCACAGCTATGCTAACATTATTCACAGTGACAACTGGTGAAGGATGGCCTGGGTAAGCACTTTGTTCATTTCATGCAACTATATGTTATGGAAGTGGAAATCTCACAGAGATTTATTTGATCAGACAGCGTGGTCTAAACTTGCTGGAAAAACACTTTCATTTGTTTGGTCTAAAAAAAGGAAGCATTGGACCTCAGATAATACTAGATAGTTCTTTTGTTCAAATTCAAAATTGTGACATATAATGTTTCATTCATAACTTTGTATGAGATTTAAAACAGATTTCATGATAAATAAGTTCTCGTCCATTCAAACTTATGGGATACTAATTTTCCGAATGTCCACTGATCTTTATTAGTCTTCGTGCATTTCACTTGTTATAATTGATTTGTTATCTATTAAAAACCCTCTGTGATTATATGCTAATATGTAAAATTCACAATGTCGTGAAGTATCATATTTCTGGTTCATATATTTTCAAGTTCCTTCTCTGTCCATTGAAAAAATGTGCTGTAATCACGATAGAATTCGTACATAATATAATTATGAACTTCTCGTTATAAGAGCGTGTAATATCACCGGGATTTTCATGGATTTTTACTCGAACCAGGCACTGAGGATGTTAGACGGAACAACGACAAAAGTTTTTTATCAGTTATTCAATTCAGATGAGGTTACACCATTGAAGACATTCAGCGGAGCTTAAAATTACTTTAATCATTCCAACTCACAGCACATAAATAAGGATGGTTGAAATTTATGCACTGAATTTCATCAATAGATACTTTTATACAAAGAGAATTCGTCAAAACTAATGTGATATATGTGAGCGCAATCAACTGTGCATTATATTTCTATTACTTACGCCGACATGTATGTGTGAGAACCAGATTAAAGTTCAATTACTACACTATTTCCTATATCAAGGTTGAGTCGATATCACTTTGAGTGCACTCAATATGTCAAACAACAGTTATTTAGTAGAAAAAAGACCTTTCCAAAAATCCCAGTATGATCATAATTTACTCTTAAGTACTGTCTACCTAAATATTTCTATGCCTTTCAAAATTAGTGATGTATTTCTAGGAAAAATTTTTTTCTATCTATAATTGTTGATTAGTGTTTTCCGTGACTATACTATACTAATGATCGACATTTTTGCTTACATTGAGAACATATTCAAGCGTTCTCTCTTCACAATTCAATAATGATTGATAAACATCATAACTAAGATTTGGCTTGTTAGTCTCTTCAAGTAGTTTGAGTTTTAGGGTAGATTACTTAAAACAAAAATAATGTATATATATATATATATATTTATAGTGTCATGAATAAGCAAAAAATAAAATAGAAATTTCTGTCATTTCAAATTCAATTTTTGTTACTATTTGAACAAGTAATTTATAACTAGGTTGTAAATGGCTGCTTTACTGAGCGCTGATATTACAAAGTATTTTATCATGAGATGATGGAGAAAATTTATAGCTCAGGTGGATGATTGTGGTGGTGGTGTTTGGTTCTCTGAGCTGGATATTTTGGTTGTGAAGCTTTCATTGTTCATATGAACAACATCATCAGCACAAACTTCAGATGGAAGTAAAGCATTCGAATTTCTCCACGTTTGACCTGTAGCTTGTTCTGCTAACCTCGATCTTGATTGGTTGCTGTTGACCTTAAACCTGTCGTTGTTTGCACCTTTGTTTTGATTGCATCTCCCTTTTGATTTGATTCTTGATTCTATGTCACCTATGATTTTTCTGATTGGTTGAAAAATTGGGTCAATGTCGATGTGTTTGTTGATTGCTGATTGACCTGAGTGCCAAGTTTCTAGAAATTCTCTAGTGTTCTTTGTGCTCCCCCTACCCAGTATTTCCACATTGTAACAATCGAATGTGTGTCCATAATTGTCGATGTGTATTGATATAAGCGAAGAATTGTCTTGGCGTCTGATTGCTAATTGGTGTTCACGTAAACGAAGCTGAAGGGGCCGTCCACTTTGTCCTATGTATTGTTTTTTATAGTCTGAGCAATTTATTTTGTAGATAGTATTTGATTTTTCTTCATTTGTTGTCATTTTGTCTTTTGGTCTACATACGATTGATTGAAGTGATTCTACATATTTGAAATCAATCAATCATTGTTAGACCACCATTGGAAACCTGGAAGCACTGGACGGCCGTATCGTCCTGGTGGTTTCTAATGGTGGTCTAACAATGATTAATTGATGATTTCAAATGTGTAGAAACACAAACCTCCAAAACTCTGCCCAAAAATATCATAACAGTGCTCACTAGCGACTCGCTTAGTGAGGAAATTCTCGGAGTTCTAGTTCAGAAGACGTGACCATTGGAGTCCAACCCTGTCGGGTGTAGGCAGTAACTACCAAAGACAAATGGGTGAGGTCGCGCAAAATCCGTAGATCAATCATTGTTAGACATTAACACCGTTGGTTGCCGGCCCAGTGGTCCGATGGTTAGGCGTTCGCTCACAATACCGAAGGTCCCGGGTTCGGATACTGCGAGGTGCAATAATCGTGGATGCGCACTACTGATGAGTCTCTTACCAGGACAAAACGGCCGTCCAGTGCTTCCAGGTTTCTAATGGTGGTCTGACAATGATTCATCGATGATTTCAAATGTGTAAAAACACAAACCTCCGAAACTCTGCCCGAAGTGATTCTGTTGGTTTGTGTGCCACACCTATTCTAAATAGTTTCAGTAGTCATGCTGTATGCTCCGATATGTCTTTTATGTATGGTAGGATGATCCGTTTATTGGTTCCTGTACTTGATTTTGCTTCCGTTGATGATTTCGGTTGATGTTTTTTGAAGTTGCGTGGATAGCCGTTCTTTTGGAGGATAGTCACAAGGTGTTTTTCCTCGTTTTTTAGTGCTTCATATGTGTATCAATGTGTCTTCGCTCTTTTTTTCTCTCATTTTTCTAATGCAATTCATATATCAACTATAAGATATAATATTCTGATTCTAAATACCTATAACTTAAGATTAAGAGGCTGTAGTTGTCACTACTTACTGAGATCATCTGATAAAACTTTTTAAAATCAGTGAGACTCATTTATAAATGAGTAGATTCTTGTATAACTTTTTTTGAAAAAATATAGAGGAAATATATCACAACAAACAATCTCCCATCAATAAAGTTAAGTTATATTTCACTAACAGATTGTTGATATGTGGCATATTTTTATCTATTGAAATACACTACATTTTTTTATATTCATAACTAAACTAATAATCTAATTGTCATAGTAATCATACTTCATTGGATAAAAAAATATATATAAGAGGTAAAATCTGACCAGAAATTATTCTAGTTTATTGATACAATTCAAAATTGATCTAATGATTATTATGATTAAGATTATGATTATTATTCAAAAGACACGATGCAACAAATAAAATCCACAATATTTATCTAAACAAGAAATTCTATGGAATGTTTATTTTTATCTGTGCACAACATCTGTACATTGTTTTGCTTCATGCAATTTCTTTTCATTTTGTGGTTTTCTTTTATCCTCTTCACCACACCCACAAAATATCATCGCTGCTATTGTTAATGATACTACCACTACTACTATCATTACTACCACTACTACTGGTATTAATAATAATAATAATAATGATAATAATAATAATAATATGCCTCCAGTAGATCATTTCCTTTTCATCATTCATGAACAACATCTTTGGATGCGCAAATTTGAGATCAATGCTGTTTTTATGTGCATATTTGTGTAGGCAGGGAAAATTTCATTTGAATTTTTGTAGAAAAAAAGGTAATTACGAAAACAGGAAGCAATACAATTTTCCAACTATCATTTATCGTATTCCGTGTGTGTGTGTTTGTGTGTTATTTTATACTATTTACCTGACTCTAATTATTTAATTAATCATTCTCAAATGATTATTCTTTAATTACACTTGTTGCAATACAGAAAAGAAGTGTGTAATATATTAGTTCTATGAAGTGTTATTAATAAATGTTTGCTTTTAATTCTTGTGTTGTAACTAACAGCATCAATAAGAAGAGTAAAAATGTTTAAACTACCTTTTGTTCAGTAGGTGTCATTAATAAATTATAGCCAAATTCCGAAAAAACTAAGTGTTGTGGATGTTAGATCCCCAGATCTCGCTTGATATATGCCTTAATTTTGGATTTCATGTTGGCGAGTATGGACTGATCAGTTGACAATCAGATTTCATTTCCCACCAGGAAAATCCTTGGCTGTGATTGTCTGCTGTGTATCTTAGTGTGCTATTTTTGTAACTGTCCCTAGGACGTTTCTATGATGTATAAATAAATGAGATTTGTGTGCTTGGATTGATTGTGCCTGATGGGTGTTTGTAGAATATACTTTCTACGCAACATCAAGACTTATGATTAGTCAACTATTCAGGGTAACCTACCTGGACGTTGGTTCATTGTCTCGTTCTAGTTTGTCGACTAGGGTGAACCCGTAATAGTTAGAGCATAGTTGATGATGAACCTAACACTAACTCACTTCTGTACTTTCTTAACTGACTCAATAGACCAACCATAAGACAAAGAAGCCTTGGATTAATTTTAACGTGATATTTTTAGAAATTTACATGCATGTTATGGTAATAAACTTTTGATATATGTGCTTGAACTAGTAATAATGAATTAATCTTCAACTACTGATCACTTGTTTATTAGCTCATTGTCTAGAAGTCGTAGACTATAGACCAACTAGAACGTCAGTGTCGCTAACAGAAAAAAGGTTAATTAACTTTTTTCTCTTAAAGTGACTTTATAAATAGACAGGTAATATACTGAATACTAAATTGTAATTTAGTCAGAAAGATACCTGAAAACTTTCCTTTGAATTTCAAAAAACGTTTTGTGTTTTATTTAATAAATTTATTAGTTGTCACATTATTTCTCTATTGCTTGTTTACAATCTTTGAAAGTAGTTCTGCATTAGCAGTATTAGAATAGATGCTTATTAAATGTTGGTTTTCCATTCACTGATTTAAGATAATGATATGCATATCAATTAAACAATTGTATCGTGTATGTACCATTAAACTTATAACTGCTGTGTTATAGATTTAAATATCTTTCATCCAAACCAGCTTAACCAAATCATCAGTAGCATTAATTCATTCTTAGACAAACATGTATCACGGATTGAAGTAAACATGCTTGCATAATGAATTAAACTAACTATAGTGATTAAAAATCATGAAAATTCCAAGTTTTTACTCAGACATACTCAATATAATGCTAATAAAAGGGTTCTGTAGTATCTAATTTAATACTTGTTTTGTGGACTAACTTTTGACATTTAAGGGAGCCCATACTGACTGAAAATCTACCACTATCTCGTTACGTATTTCCCTAGACCACTTATAAACGGTTCACACAAATCAAATATGTCATCTTTTTGCTTTTACTGGAAACAGTAAAAGCTAACTTATCAGTGATTGTAAATCTTTGTTAATATTTATTGGGAAATTTATGGTTGTGTACAACTTAAAATAATCCTCAAGAATCAAATAAAAAACAATGATCAGATAACTATTAAAAAAATATCAGGAAAGATTTCCTATTATAATGTTGAGCACTAGGATAACTCAGTAGTTATATTCACCTCAGCTTTCATATTATACTCAATATCATTTTCCCAAGCATACATTTATTGATAGTAGTCTTTTCTGTCTTAGACTTGCTTTAAATTATATATTTCTGACTAGCATTCTTAGGTGCTTTCACATCACTTCTAAAGCCTCACTAAAATCTTACGTCTGGGAAACACTGACACTGTGGTTAAAAAGAATATTATTATTTTAATGAAATTATTGATTCGCTAACTTCAATGAACTCATTTTTTAAGTTAAATTTTCATTCTATATTGTCATTAGATTAACTGTCTAACTTTCGACTAGAATAACTATGCAAGCAATAAAATATCTCTCTTCCATTGGTTAGTTGTTATGATTTTGTGATTTTGTGATTCAGTAAATCAATTTGCTACTATTTATTATGATTATTACTAATATTTTCTAACTTTTTTTTCTGTAAAAAAAAATTATTTATTGTAGAATTTTAAAAAATTCAATGGATGCTACCGAAGTGAATCATGGTCCAGTTGAAGATCATAGTCAACAGATGGCAATATTCTATATCATATTTTTCATTGTATTTCCATTCTTTTTTGTCAATATTTTTGTAGCTTTAATTATTATAACATTTCAAGAACAAGGTGAAAATGAATTAGTCGATCATGAATTAGATAAAAATCAAGTAAATTATGTGTAGATGTGTTTTTTTTTTCTTTTTCGTTTTATTAGTCATACATTAATTACTACATTAAGCTAATTGATAAACTGTAGTGTTTGAGTAGAATTTTATGAACACCAGTCAACATTAAATAATATGAATTGATTTTAATTTAATAAGTCATCAGCAGCAGCTTACAACCGTACATATATTAAAATATTACATAATAGTTAATAGTGATTTTATAGCTTACATCAAGACTTGATCTAAGTTAGTTAATCAGTGTGAAACTAGGAAGTCCTAGGTAAATGTTTTCTTAAGTACGAGGTGATAACAGTTTCACAATATGATCTGGTTCCGCTTGCTGCTTAAGATCAGTCAGTGAAGTAAAACATGAAATTCGACAATATTGCGGCTGGTTACTTATATTATTATTAAACTACTTGAGATCATGATACCTTTTTGGTCTGTGGTTCCTTGGTACGTGCTCGGAGAAGTGAACATGTACTCTTCTCTTCGTTAGCTCAATAACTGATCTTCAAGATACCTTGTTGAAACTGTTTTCATTACTAAATGTCATCGATATAACTACCGTCTATCCTTGTTTAGAACTCTTTTGACACAGAATCACAAACGAAGTCCATCGAAAGACATTTGGGTGACATGATGAATAAAAAATCTTTTGACAATAAGATGAAAATTGTAACTTTAATGAATTTTCAGTGTAGTATAACCATCAGCTAACAAGTATCCAGAGAAACTTTAAATTCAGATATGATTTAATTCTATCAGTTACAACATCTCTTTTTAACCATAAAAAATAGTGACATTTAATTCCAACCACTGATAATTATTACTGTCTAGATTCCCTATAAGTTCTTTCTATTTAAAATTAAATCCTGTACGATTATATCTGCAAAATGATTCTTTAATCTGATTCTTACCACTTAGATGTTACTCTAAACCATAAAAGGAAAACTACAATTTTATTAAAGGATTATGACTAATTTAATTGTACTACTTGAAAATTTTTCCCTCCTAAATCAACATCAGATGATGAACCATCGCAGAAAAGGTGTCTCTGAAATACTATTTAGTCCTAGAGCAGGGATCTTTAGTTTTCTACACAATTCCTCGACACCACATTGATTAGTCTCTTGCAAAATACAACACCATCCAGTCCGTCTATATTAAATATTCTGCGTAATTCGATTTCCTGTAATTATACGTAAACTATGTAATTAGCAATCGATTGTTACTTAACTGATATTGTTAATACCATAGGCAACTAACTACTAACAAGAAATCCTAAATGAAATGAAAACAGCTTATCTATGCCATAAATTTTAACATTTCTTTAACGGAAACCTACTGTCTAATTTTAATTTTATTCACATACTAGTTGCCTGTTTCTTTGTATTCTAAGCTGGTAATATATTTTTAGAAAACAACTCATAGATTTAATCTCATGAAAACTTATTTATCTGTGACATTTACATTGTAACATTAAAACATCTAATGAAAGTGCTGAAATTAAAAGTGTGCTATACTCAGATTATGCTTACCAATCTGATTCGTTGATTGATTAAAGGACCCAAAGTTATTTTACACAACTTGATTTCCAACAAGTGAAAATTACAAAATTAATAAACTAAATATAGCATATGGTACTTTTTTTCCAGTTACAAAAATAACGAGTACTTCCTGTTTCTACTTTTTATTCTAACAGATACGTTTTTTTCAAGTGTTACACTTTAACCTAAGTATATTTCATTTCCATTTGAGAAATAATTAGCTTTATTTTTCTCATTTTCTGTACAAATATCAACATACAAATTATACTTGCTTTTATTTGATTGTTTTCTAGAAACAATGTATTGAATTTGCAATTAATTCAAAACCTTTATGCAGATATATGCCTAGTAATATTGCATCGACAAAATATCGAATATGGCGATTAGTGGTTTCTAGTCCATTTGAATATTATATCATGACAATGATTGCATTAAATACTTTAATTTTAATGATGAAAGTATGTTTTTCTTAAAATATTTATTCATTTATTTATTTAAAAATAAAAAATAAATTTGTAATGAAAGTAGAAGAATGATTAGAAATGTAAAACAAACAGTTCACTTTAGTACCGACTTTGACTTATTTCATAGTTTAATAAAATAAAATTTAGCTCGAAAGAAATTTGGAGCAGAAGTTTATAATCTATTAATGTTTGTATTTCAGTGGTATAATAAGAAGTAAGAGTTAATCTAGGAAATTCGATGTACTTTTCGGACAATCTGTTTGTGCATATATTTGTCCAGATATGTAGACATGAAAGCCAATAAAAGTCATTTAAATACCATGTCAAACAAATTCGGAATAATAGTTCGAAATAAGTTATTCAATATAGAACAAAGTCTGTCAAGTCAAAGTTAAGATTAGAACAAATTGTGTTTTTTTTTTACTCACATAAGGAAGACCTTAATTTTTAATGAACACAGCTTTCACACACGTTAAAAACAGTCCCTTAACAATTTTTATACAAAAATCCAAGAGCCCTTTTAAAGCAAATACAATGACCTGTCTCAAAATTAAATGTTTCCCTACCGAGAGGTACGATTCTTTTCCTCCTTACTGATATTATCAGGTACTTTCAATTTGAAATTCAATACTTCTACTTGCAACTCAATATTCAAAAGAAATATGTTCACTACTTTCCGGCATAAATATTTTTATCTGTTTCACATTCTTGCCTTCAGGAATTTAGTTTATTAAGTAACCTTTGTCAAAACTTCGTTTTATCGTTTCCTTTCCTAATTTAAAATCTGTTCCTTTTAGAACTTAACATTTCAGTCTTTTTTAATCATTACTTTGTTAGCTTTGACTGCTGACTGAAAATTCTTCTGGGAAATTCTATATTTAAATATATAAATACACTTTAACAGATAATCTTCTGGAAAAATCAATTCGTCAGAAAGAAACACTTTATCATCAATACCCGTCGGTCAAAAAAATAAATTGTTTTATTTTAAAGAAACAAGAAGTCATTGGTTTCAGTTATCATAATAGGCGTAATATCTTTTTCGGACTGTACGAACATATTCATGCGCACGGATGAGAAGTTGCCCACTAGTACGCGACAGTTATCAAACGTTTCGTAGTTTTAAAATAACTCTCTGATTGCAGTTTATAAAGAAAAATAACTTGATGAATAATTCACATAAATAAATAGTTAAATTAACTTTCTGATCCCGGTTCGGATTAAATTATAATAAATAATGATGAACTGAACCAGTAGTTCAAATTCCCCATATTATATTATGATCATTAAGGCTTAGTAGTCTTATAACTAAGATGATTGCTTTCAATTAAATCGTGTAGTAAGAGATAATACATACTACTATTAAGCGTATTTTATCTTATCATAAAGATTGTATTCGTAAATTTACTCTTTTTTTCCTTTCTAGTATTATCGACCAGATTACACAGATGCAAACATGGGCATTCCTGATTGGGAAACACAAAAATATCAAAGTTATTGTAGTACATTGGTTTATTTGAATACGGCATTTACCGCAATGTTTACGATGGAATGTTTATTAAAATTAGTTGCGTTTGGACCAAAAGTAAAAGTCACTACTTTAATTGAATTTTTATATTAATTGCATCATTAATTACTTACTTACCTATGCCAATTACACCTCACGGTGCGCAGGCTGTCAACTGGAATTCTCCAACCTACTCTATCTTGTCCCTTCCTTTTTCAGTTCTTCCAAATCGATATTCATTATTTTCATGTCCGTCTCTGATTCTCGGTACAGTGTGTTATTTGGTCTATCTCTTTTTCTTTAGTCTTGGAGGTTCCACGTTAGGCTTTCCTCGTGATGCAGTTGGCAGATTTCTTCAGTGTGTATCTTATCTGCTACCAGAACATCTTCCTAATTTCTTCCTCTGCTGGAATCGCGTTTATTCTCTACAATTGTAGGTTGTTGCTGATGTTGTCTGCCCAATAGATGCTCAGTATCTCGCGTAGACAGCTGTTGATAATTACTTGTATCATTCGAGTGATGGCTTTGGTAGTTCTTCAAGTTTCTGCTCCATACAGTAGAACTGTGTTGATATTTGTATTGAATAATCTGACTCTGATGTTGGTTGAGTTAAGTGCTAGATGCTCTTCAGCTGTAGAATCCTGACTTTATTTTGCTAATCGCTGTCTTCATGTATTATCATTTGGTTGAGAACAATCAAGATGGATACCTTAGATTTGTGTTTATGCTGACTGACACTAGTCTGCGAGGAGTAAGTGCGGCTTGAGGTAGTTAGTGGATTTTACAAATAGAACCTCTTTTACTCGATGTCGTAGTCAAAATGCTTACTAAATTTTCTGAATTTTTTCGTAGAACTAAATATTTCTATACATAACAAAACGCAAATTAGGAGTCTTATAATTAAATGAACCATGCCATGTATTGTTAATTTGCTTAATAACCGTTGATGCTGATTACGTGATCAAAATAAAAGATTTCTGTATGTCAGTTAATATTTTTTTGGCAATAAATACTTACATAGTTAATCACCTATTTTCATTTTAGTTCAATACCAGTGAATAATGAGAGCGTTAACTATTTGTCAGAATATATAGTGATTCTGAGGGAAAAATGAACACTACTTACCACCGAATTCATTTTTGTTGCGTATCACGATCATATGGTTTCAGTTACGTTTAAAATCATTCATTAAAAATCGGTAGTATTACACAATCTTTAAACAATGGTTTGAACCAATTTTACCGTGAATTTCCTTTTGAGACTTATAGAAACCAAAATATGAATAATGATTTAGTAAAGAATATATTTTTGGACATAGATTTGTTGCACTTTTTATATTTCGATGAAATTTACCCAATTATTGTTCGATACCATTTTATAGCAGTCGTTTACCATGTTAAACATATTTTGGTTTTCTTGCAATCTCTTTGGGTTTTGTTTAATTAAAATAATTTTTATAAGTGAATAACACGCAGTTGTTAAACCTTTTTTCAGAGTTATTTTCGTGATTCATGGAATACATTTGATTTTATTACAGTAGTTGGTAGTATAACCGATGTACTTGTTTCTGAGCTACAGGTAAGCAGTCACATGCTCTTATTCTCAAAAATATTTTAATTTATTTAACGACTGTTGGTTTGATTTCAAAATACATTTTAACTACATACAGATTAAATGTATAGCAGAGGATAGTGGTAAAGTTAGGAATGTGAGTTTCATTATCTATGGCATAAAAGTCTGAATATATATGCTTGATTCTTTTTATAACATTAAGTTTATAGCATATTCAGTTGTAAATGTAAGCAAAGCGTATTCCGGACTTCACTCAGCCAGTCAATTCTAAAGCAGCTTAAAACCAGAAACATACGTACACTAGTCCAAGCTGTTACATTATATCAATAACATAAGTTCGCCTATGTTCTCCTAATCTTAATTGCTCAGGCAATCAGTTCTTTGAAACAAAGTCTCGAGAACATTTAAATTACCATGAAGATTCAATGAATCTTGGTTTATATTTTTCAAAGTCTCCACATTTATTTATTTTCAGCATCTAACTAACTTTGTATCAGTAGCTTTAGCTTAGCTGTAAATTAGGTACACACTATCTGTCATCGCGTTCAGAATTTTAGGCAAAAATCCAAAGTGCGTTATATTTAATCTGAATGGTTTGTCAACAAAGCATACTTATTCACCCAATACGTGATGGTTTTGTATTCGATCTTATGTAAAGGTAGTAGGTAGGCTTACACTATCTCGAAAGTTTTCCATCTGTTACCATTACATAATGAAAACTCTCTTCATATCAAAGAAATGCTCACCAACCATTTAGCTGAAGAAAATTTTAGTCAATATCGACTTTATCCGATTGTTGACAACAATAGAATTTATCTCTGTTTGACAATAAATCTCTTTTTTAGCGATTACTCAATATTTCAGTTTACTTTAGATACTTAAATGTGATGATAAAACATTATACAGAAAAAAATATACTGAATTATTACTCTTTATACATTTCAAAAAAATCTTATTTTCAATAGTTGGGAATCAGTTGGTAAATCTTTTTCTTTAGTTTTTCTCCATGTAACTAAGATGGAATATCACCACATGCATTGAAAAGACAAATCTAATTTGGGATTGAGAATATCACTTGTTTGTACAGACGAGTCATTGTATTTTTGGTTTAAATAAACTGTAAAGAAACTGACAAATTGGATCGATACAATATGAAGATAATCAAACCAATTATTTAATCTTCTGAATGCACAACGATTTGAACTCGAAAGGAACTTAAAATATTTAAGCTATAAAATTTTAAAAGTTCATATACATTTCAAGTGCTTCAGATTTCATTTAAAACTGATCTACAACTTTATATTTTAATTCTAACATGTTTTAAAATAGAATTTCATGTTTTATATTTGTGAAATACTTCTCATATAGTCTACTTTTTAACTAAAGTAACATATTAATTAGGTGATGCTGTTTGATCAAACATATATGACATTTTATCTTAGCAAATGGTATTTTGCTTATACTCAGATCATACTGATATCACTACTTACTTATATAATAACAACAAGAAACAACAACATCTATACTTTTTTGACTAATCTAGATAGAAATCTTCCCTAAAATTAGAGTTTCTTCTTAAGAGGCTTTGATAAGCTAACCTGGTATATACTAGTACACTATTGGATGATTTCGTCTTACAGATATTGTGTATGCACCATGTGTGTATATAAGACGATCGTACTGCAACATTCGAAATCTTTTTTTGAAGCTGGATTAACTCATAATCAACTTATTTCAGGTTGAATTGTATTATTAACTGGATTAGTATTTACAACTTTCTCTACTGCCTACCTCCATCCACACAACATTTGAAAATAGCTTATACGATATCAAGTCACTCACACTAGTGACCATGTGGCAATTTGATATATAGAGTTTGATTAGTACTAAAAGACTGGACAACTATAGCATTAGTCACTCCATTGTAATTAACCATTCGCACAGAAATATTCTACACCTATTTATTAATTATTTTATACCTATTTTAAATTTCTGACGGAATTCTTTTACTTGATAAGAAAAATTAGTACTACTAAATAGCTGAAATGTTGTTGCATATTTTTCTGAATTTTAATTTTTAGGATTCATCATTTCTCAATTTAGGATTTTTACGACTATTTCGTGCTGCACGTCTAATCAAATTAATTAGACAAGGTTATACAATCAGAATACTGTTATGGACATTTATTCAATCATTTAAAGCATTACCTTATGTTTGTTTACTTATTACAATGTTATTCTTTATTTATGCTGTCGTAGGAATGCAAGTAAGTCTAGTTTATTTTCTTAATGACTTTTTACATAATTTTATTTGAAGAGAAAAAAATAAGAACTGAAGCAATTAATAACCAACATTCAGAACATGATAAGCTTTATATTTAATTTTCGAAGTAATAAGTAATATAACTGACAGATGTGAAGTTTTTTTGGTTATTTCATGACTCTTATTTTCTTCCTTGATTACCTCAATTTTGTTTTATCGATTAAATGATCTATAGTTATACAATCTAAGTTAAATAACAACATCAACTCCCAAATAATGTAAGTTCAGTGTTTCCAGTAATTTTGTACTGTTTTCACAGTAATTTAGAACACTGATGACGGGTTTCAAAAGTAAAATGAAACAATTTCAGTTTTAAACATATTCTGTCTCATAAAACGATTCAACTGCGCAAACTATCCCCAAAGTAGGAGTTTTTCATTCTACCAATTTATTCTCATTTGCCAAAGTTGTTACTGAAAAAAATATACATATGAATTTACCTTAATGGTTTTAATAAGCAGACAAATAAATCATCGACCCAATTTTACGAATAATTTATTCAGTAAACCTAATTGAAGTAATCAAATCAACTAATTTTGGCCAATCACAGAGTGATGATATCTAACAATCATTATATCCAAATCAATATGATAGAGCATTTATTATTCAACAAATAATTATAGCTTAGGCTAACATGAAGTGGACTGTTCACGAATATGTATACCAACCGATGAACAGTTAGATTTAAAAAAATTGGATATCTGCTTGATCCTAATATGCGACTCGTCAAAATCATAAATTTCAAAGCCTCACAATGAAACGAACTCACTATGCTCAAACTTCTCTGCTGGTGCGTTACCTTTAAACCACTGATTTTCCATCCAATGGTCTACAATAAGAGTTTCATTTAGTTTACGGTATGATGCAACAGTCGTTTGATACCGTTTTCGAATAGCTGCTTTCCGATAATGCTAAACTCTAGTAGTTAATATTTTTTTATTTAAACTTCAAGAATTCATCTCAAAGACAATTAACAATAGGCGAAAATTAATGTCTGGTCTGTGGGAGTTTACTAAACGTGAAGACAGCTTTCATGGCTGAATAAGAACAGTTCATGAGGCATTTATGCAAAGAAACCGCTCGGTAGCTGTTTGGTCCCAGTTTGTCACTATTTATTAGTTCAGTATTTGCACTACACATGTGACAAGTTCTCTCTCTCTGTCTCTCTCTCTTTAGCTTTCTTTTGACTTTCATAAGCTGACATTAATTAATAAATTAAGTTCCAAAAGTTCGAAAAATCTTCACAAAATTATCTTACTTTGCTTTAATCACAGAATCAAATAATTAGTGTTTACCAGAAGTATATATCTTTTAATAAACAAAAGTTCACTTTTAAAACATTGAGTAATCAAAATTTTAAAGTTCACAAAAACTATAATCATGTATTTCAAATTATCATTATATAAAAATTTTGAACTGAATAAACTTTTTGCATTATAAGATGAAATAACTGACCGGAAGAAACAATAATGTTTAACCTGTAACTGAAAATAAACTAGGTAGAGAAAAGTGAAAGAAAGAAAAGTGAATAAACCTCTCTCTCTCTCTCTCTCTATATATATATATATATATATATATATATATACATATATATATATATATATATATATATATATATATATATATATATATAATTTGTAAAGGAAGCGATTCTATCTAAATAACTGTAGGCAACTATTACAATTGTAATTTTTACACAATAAAAGACAATAACAAGTTTTATTGAAAGTACATTCAAGCCAATACTCCTCTTTCTTTGTCCAATTGAATACTACCTATGCTAACAGAATACAATATTTTTGTTAATTTGAATTATCAATGAAAAGTATATTTAAACAAAAAAAAGGATGAAATATACTGAACTGAAAAACAAAACAGTTAAAAATAATAAACCACTTGACCTGAATTTAACGTAATTGTACATACTATATATGTATTGCTGCTATAAGAGAAAAAAAGTATATCGGTATATACATCAAAGCTTATTTGAAGTGAATTGAATTCACTAAGTAAAAAAAATTAATGAATAAAAACGTTGATGATGTAATCGAAATTAAGTTTATGTAAAAATGAAATCCAATCACGATTCCTTAATGGAGATGATAGTTTTTTTATGACGGAATGACAAGCCACAAAAAAACTATTAAAATGTAAGTAATCATCGCATCGTAATCAAAAATTCCTCATTCGCTAAGTGTCAAACGCATAACCTTCAAGTTTTTCACTACTATTGTTATCTTTAGATCTTTGAATTGATAGTTCTAATAGTTCACATTTTCAACTTTATTCTATATGTGATGTTGAGCAACTGTAATCTGTTGAAATTGTCAAATGTTTCTTATGATTTCATTCCCATTGGTTATCCCTTTGTAGTAGAAGTTTAAGAATTCTTATAGCTAGTCGTAAATTAAATTTACAAATAAAGAATACATATATACCAACAAAGATTGACTGATCAATTCCAACCCTGAATTTGAATAACTGGAACATACAAACACAAAATATACATGTAGTGACAGCCAACTTAGTGAAAATATATGGATACTGTTCAAGATCAAAGCATCTAATTAGTCAACAATAACTGTAATAGTAAATTTTCAACAGTTAGGTTTCAAGACTCGAACAAGGACCCATACCTCTTTTGGTTCGCATATATGATACTTACTTGTCATAGATGACTTTACAACGATTAAAATAATTCACAAACTGATCAATTTAGGAGACGACATCAACCTGAGGTTCAATAAAAGTCACCGATTCATTAAAGGCTATTTTTGTCTTGTTCTATTGGCCGATTCAACCAGTAGCATATTCCAAAACTTTGACAAACTAGTTGCCCGAGCTTATTTCTGTGTAGATAGCTTGATTGCTAAAGGTTAACTAATGATTTCTGCATTTGATGCATATTTGTAGGTTGCCAACTAACGGAAATATTCTAGCGGTCACCCAACTCAAAACTATAACTCTCCCTTAACGGCATCATTACGTTTATCTACTACTTATGGATTCAATATGAAAATAATTCTATCACCCTTAAAAATAAAATCTACAATGCCAGATTTCGTCTTTCTGTTCTTTTTTCTTGTATGCGTTTACGATTCTGCTTACAGTAAACATATGGTTGATATTTTACACATGTGACTATATTCGAATTCGTTTTCTATAACTAAACTGTTAAAATTTCTATTAACACATATGTGATCAATAAAAGACAACTATTACTTCAAATTTTTTCTTGAACCATTGATATTAGTTGCAAGTTTTCACAACTAGTTTGTTAGCACTAACCGTGTTGTATCCACTGTTTACAGTTGGTTTTTTCCGTTCACTTGATAAGTGAGTAATGCATATCGGAACAGAATTCACATGGAAGTTTCCATATGAAGCCCTAACATTTACTAAAACAGTGTGTTTTGATTTGATATGAGGCTATCCTATATTGATGGTTACCACAGAAGACAGTTATCGATGACTCTGCTTAATATTAAAATTGTTAACTAACCATCAAACTGCATCATTAAAACTTAAAAACGATCTATCTTGTCGATGCATTTCACTGAAGCTACTTGTAAAACCGGTTTCAAAAAATCTTCAATGATGAAAACCAGTAAACCGCAGCTTATGGACTATATATGAGTTTTTAATGAGCAAACCAGTGTTTCCTTTCTTAACAACAGCCCAGAAATTACTATATCACCAACAATGGCCAGAACACAAAGGGTAACTGCAAACCTACTAGACGAACTGACCTACCTGATAATTCAATTTCATGTAGATGATCAACGTAACTTTTCGTCAGTAAATCATAAACGAAATCATGTCATCATGTATAAACATACTTACTGAAAATTGTAATGATTTATTTGTTTGATATTTTTATGTAGATATTTGGTACAATAGCTATAAATGAAGCTGAAGGTCAAATTACAAGTTACAATAATTTTCATAGTTTCCCATACGCAGTTCTGTTACTATTTCGGTAAGTTGAACTAGAAATATATGGTGTTTTATGAAAACATTCCTTCAAATTTGAGCAACCAGTGCCTAAGGACCCAGTTTATGAATGATTTTATAAGAAAAACTATATTTTCAAGAAATCTAAGTGACTAAATCCAAGGATAGCCTGGATATTTCGTTCTGTAATCTGATTCGATCTTCTAAAAAATCATCGAAGATGAAAAGGATTCACAAAAAAGTGTCTGCCAGAAGACAGATTAACCAAATTAAGAAATCTGTTTCTCTAAGTGTCAGTAGTTGTTTATCATGAAGCGTAGTAAGCTTGTTGTAAAAATCCAAAAGTATCTATATGTATTCAGATTTAATTTGAAAAAATACCATTGATATATTGTTTGTCTATTCCATAATAGAAGTCGTTCATCGAATATATAGGTCAAATATTTTACAAACACTTAACTTACTAAAAGTTTTGAAAAAAAATAATTTGTGTTAGTAAAAGAGACGAGAATAAAATGCCATTGGACAAGGATATATGGAGTGTATATTTTAAGGGAGCATTTATCAAATGATTGTTTCATGATGTTATTTTTCAATGAGCGGAGCGACAAAATAACCAAGGTGTTTTACACATGAATAATAAAGTTGATAATAGCTACCGCTAACATCTAGAATATGAGCCTATCGTTATACTGAGTCGCTTTATATTGAACTGAAATATTAGCTTCCACATATACCCTGTAATCAAAGTTTATGAAACAACCATTTCATTATACTTTTTAAGTTTTATTTGTAACATCAAATTTCATAATTGTACCGTACCACAAGTAGAATTGCCAAGTTTAACACTTAAAACATTATCATTCAATAAAAAATAACTGAGTTATTGTTAATATTTTCCAATTTCATTTTTTGAGCATATTGACAAAAAATTTATTTTCATTCAATTTAAAATATTTCAAATCCCTGTCATGTGTTCATTAAATAAGAGATTTATTAGCATTGAATTAAAATTCATGTGAAGAATAAATCATTGCGCAGTGAAATCATTTCTTCACATAAACACTAACCAAGTCAACATTCATCATTTCGTTACAGTTACTTTTTTATTCATTAGCAATCAATGTCTAATGAAAACTTTCTCCAATTTACCAATCACATTACAAGGCATCATTTGAATGATTGATAAATTTTTTACTTACACCAACTTTTTCTATTGCAGTTTATTTTCATCAACATGTCCTATTTATCTTTTCTAATTAATATGTAAATTATTTACAGTTTTACATAAATATTTATATGCATTCAATGTACTCAATGATTTGAAGAAGAAAAAAAATAAAGAAGAGGAGAATTTTGAATTTTGTTTCAATGTGTCGTAGTTTTACAATCGATTGTTCGAAATTATTTATTATTCATGATAGATCAATGACCATTTTTAAAAACTAAGAATGATTGACGGAAAACCTTAAACTTTGGAATATCAACAGACAATAAATGGTGAATATAAAATTAGTTGCTTTATATTGGCAAAATGACTCAGATATAAAACAAACTATGAGATATAAAAGTAACAAAGATTACTGAATCTCACTTAAAGTACAAATGATTTGAAAATATTGATTTTCCTTAGTCACTTATCAGTTTGTAAAATTGTAACCAACCTATCAGGCATTACTTATTACCGGCTAATTTAGAATGTTAATTTGGAATAATATTTAATATTTCGTAGTTCTTTTCAGTTTATTAATTATTTTGTCTTTATGTTTGATAGTTATCATACATAAAGATAAATAACTACTTAAATCATTTTTTTTATTTATTTAAATACACGCACTGGCACAAGAGGGTACCAAAATGTATTTAATCACCATACAATATAAACGAGGTGAGTATAATAAGAACAGAAGAGAAATGAATAGAAGTTAGTGTATGAGACTGAAATAATAATAATAACAATAATAGTGGGAGAAGCAGCTCAGCTTGCAAAACAACAACCTGAAAGGATTCATTCAGTTAAAGAAGTTCTCTGTACTTGTAGGAAGAAAGTGAAAGAAGATTACATTAGGACCGTCATTGGTTTCTCCCCTTGGTCATGTCTGATAACTTTTCACGTCACAGAAAGCACCGTCTTAAGGACCCCAACCAGAGATTTCAGAAGAACATGATGATACCATATCATAATGGAAGCCAATAATTTGGACACAACCGGTAGTAGACTTATCCCTGATAGATGTCACATAGTTAACGTGAACCTTTCTTAAAGTTAGGGACTCATTTACAGTGTTGGAACATCCTCTAATTTCCGAACAGTTGTAAACAAGTCAGTCAGTTCTATAGTCAGAAGGGTATCACCATCTTTAAGAGGGGCAAGAAGTAGGTTATCTGGGACTGGTGACTTATGGCGCTTCAAGAGTTGGGGTTCACTGAAGACTTTCCCCTATTAAAGTGGATCGTTCGTCTCTGTCCTGGGTAACAGGACAGTCTGATCGATGTAGCCTAGACGTCAGACCAGCTTAACAGTTCTTCAACAAACTCTGTCCATCGACCAAGATGTCGGTAAATTTTGAAGCTAGTGCTCATCTATACATCTCGGTCGGTCTATTGCTAGTCATGAATCTAGTTCGATTTGATATCTAGTTACAATAGATGCCATAACCAATTTACTGATATGGACTCATTTAGGACATTGACATTTTTAGCCACTGAAATGTAGAATAAGATTAGCTCAACTCATGAACAAATATCCTTTCTGTTTTACTACGAGTTGCCAAATATCAATGCTTTTCTAATAATGTTACCATTAAAATTTACTTTTATGATTTCAGTTGTGCTACTGGTGAATCATGGCAAGAAATAATGCTTGCTTGTACTTATGGACAAGAATGTGTGAATCGAACATCGAACAATTGTGGTAGCAATGCATCCTATGCTTATTTTGTATCGTTTAATTTCTTTTGTTCATTTCTTATGCTCAATTTATTTGTTGCTGTAATTATGGATAATTTTGATTATTTAACAAGAGATTCATCAATACTGGGTTCACATCATTTAGATGAATTTATACGTGTATGGGCTGAATATGATCCAGGTGCAAAGTAAGTCAAATGTAAAATGCAGTTTGATAAACGTCATATTGTTATAGTTCTGAATCCATGTATATCTGGCGTTCATTAATAAATGTTTTAACAATGTATTCAGAAAAGTATCTTAATTAGTGTCGTAGTGAAAGAAGTAAATGTTTCACTATTCATCATCACTTGTAATAGGTATCAATTTTGGATTTTTTTTTCCATCATTGATGAACACCGACTTACTAAATATTAGAAGTACAGAAGTCCATTCCTACCTGTTTGGCGCCCCCAATTTACAAGGAATGTAAACTAGGACATTCAGGTCACACGATGACAAAGATGTCTCTAGATATTACATCCTACAACATAATAGGAATCGTGCTGTTACTAAAAGTCTGGTTTTGAAATGCATAACCCAAAGTTTTTGTTAGAGACCTCGGTTTGTAGTTTCATTCATGTTTATGGTACTATTTTCTCCGATGACATTCCGAAACACATCAACAGAAGTTAAATATACAAACTAGTTATTTACAATACTATAGTTTGAAATAAGTTACTACCTCAAATTATGAATTAGAAGTTTCACGAAATAGATTCAAATCTGTTTACATGTGTTGACTGAGCTTCAGTTATTTTGCATTATAGTGTAACTTATTTACTAAGTACAAGTTTGTGAACTCGCCTTCGCTTCACAATATCTCTGTAAGGTCTATTAGTATTAGTTGACTGCTCAAAATAGAGATTTGAACATTTCACCTATTGATCAAAATTCAAGTATTCTTATCATTAAGTTACCGCCCCATCAAAATTCCTCATATAACAGCATATAATATCATCTGACTTGTTACAATGTATTCAGTAGAATTATATCAATCATACAAAGTATGAGAAATTAAGCTACTATAGCCTAAAAAGTATTAATCCTTGACTGTACTACATGCATAATCATATAATGTGTCATATATTTCTTTTTTTGTATAAAAACAAGTAATTACAATTTCCAAGCAAATATTTCACTTTACTATGAACAAAACAAACTTTCAAAATATATAACATCTTTTTAAAAAACGTGCAAAACTATTATCTGTTTCATTGTAGTTTTTTAACATTTATGCATTTGAAATAGTATGAATAATATTAGTATTGAAATATATAAATATATATATTTCGTGCTTTATAAACTAAATAGATATTAAAGAGTATTCTGCTCCATTTAATTGTACTGACACACACACACATACACACACAGAAGCATATACAGTCTTAATTTAACCTAGAGTTATTGACTAAATGTTGAAATACGTTAGTCATTTACCATAAGTAATATGCTAATTTTATTTGGTTCGGATAAGATCAATTCATATAGATATTTTTATAATTTGGATGTTTTTTCTTGATGCTGTTTTTTCTTTAACAAATTGAATGATATTATCTATATATATATATATATATATATATATATATATATATATATATATATATAATGACAATTTATTAATAAAAATATGTGTAAAACTTTGTTTACTCCATATGCTGTATATGAATGATGAATAAAGAAACAAAACAAAGTGAATATTCCATAATTTTCCAGTTATATTCATTGTCAATGTGTTTATCGAAACGATTTCGCATACAGACAAAATTACTATAAATCTTGTTGAATTTCATTTCTTCCACAGTTTAATGAAGAATTGCCATCAAGCTAACATTGTATGTGTAAATGATACAAACGAACAAAACTAGACAATATTTAGCTGATACGTTGTTTATGGTTTAGTAATGCAATATTTTTCTAGTATTTAGTAGTAGTCAAATTCTATTGATTAACTAGTCTAAATGACACAGTATAGCATGCAACATGCCTGAAATTTTAACTGAAGTGATGCTTAACTCGAATGATCCAGTCATAATACCTAACTTCAGGAGAATGGGTAATGAGAGTTTGAATATCACAGGGAGCATCAATTCACTCCAGATTACATGTATACCATTGAAACCCCAATCTAAACAAAATATTGGAGCTTTTAATGTCCAAATATTGTGCCAAACAGGACAACAAGCTTCCTTAGCTAGGACTTTAGAATCTCGCACCATCAATGTATGCTGCGTCTCGGAAACGCACATACAGGATCCGAGTACAGTAATTAATTTGACTTCATCTTGTCCATATAAAGAACCGACTCGGTTTACGCTTCGAGTATATCTGGAAGCCCTACTGCTGCTTCCTGTGGCCTCGCTGATGTAGATATAGCACTGACTCCTAGCTCTCCTAGAATGGGTCCTAGAAGAGAGTCGCTTGTGCACTGTCCGACTACACAGGACGGTAGAGACTCGAAAAGATAGGGACAATCACCGTCGTCTCTGCCTACGTTCCCACTGACTGCAGTTCAGATGAGGTAAAAGATGAGTTTTACAGAAAGCTTTTGGATCTCCTCCAAAACATTACGCACTTTGATGAAGTAATAGTGGCGGATGACTTCAGTGCTCAAGTAGGTTGACTAAGTGAAATTAGAAGACACCTGAGTGAATCGGACGGATAATTGTGACCATCTGATGCAGATATGTTCAGATAACCTTCTATTTCCAGTAATTACTAACTTTATCCACCGACTCTTGAGATTGATTAGGATATTGGCAACCTCAGGCAAAGTAGAGCAGCAGGCTCTGACGGGATTACCCCTGAGATTTTCAAGGATGGTGTTCCATTCTTAACAGTTAGATTGACCGAAATCTTAGGTAGAATCTGGGAACTGGGTGTAATCCCGTCTGAATGTTTTCAATCGTCGACTGTCTCAATTTATGAGACGTACGTACGAAGTCCGAAGTTGTAGCTGACTGACTGATAAGTATACCTTGCTGAAGAGTGCCAAATACAATAAGATCCAGAATCAAAGTTTCCCATTCACGACCACCAACCACCTAACAAAGAAGAAAGAAAGATGAAAATTAATTAAAAAATCTGTTTTAATCTTCTATAGCTAACAGAAACCAGAGAGATAATAATTCACTACAGGGTTTGTATCATAAATCCAAGCTTGTGAAATGATTGAATGTGTTACAAAACAGTGACCAAGTGATTCAGACACTGTGGTTGGAATTCCGGTCCATCAACTCTGTTATGAGAAACAAGATGGTGTCGTATAGATTTTACAACACAAAGAGTAGAAGTTTTATTCTGTTGAATAAGTTGCTCTGTTGCTTTTTCGAGAAGTATACACAGTTTGTTTAATTTTTTATGAGATAAGATATGTCAAGTTATTGAAATAAAGGTTTTATAAAAGTTGTTCACCTTCAAGTTAATTTGCGTTAAGAACTGAATGGTTGAAAAGCAGAGTTAACAGTTATTTCGTTGCTGTTTGTGACTCTCTTCAGCGGCATATAGGATCAAACTCAGCATCTTTAAGTCTTGTGACGAATACAATGCCTATTACCTAATAATTTTCGTGTCCTCACTAGTAACTATATTCAAGGTAGACTCTTGAAATTATAATGACTAACAGTAAATGGTAGACTTCAAAAAGTCAGGAGTTATTCACTGGTGTCAGTGTATAGTCTTCATACTGCATGACGAAGTCGATGAATTTGAAAATTCTAACACAAGTCTAAATTTGTCTTAGGGACTACAATATTTGGAAGATCATAATTCCCGATAAGACGAGAACTACTGAAGAGTCTTATACTCGACGAAGTAATTGTATATTTCTTTCTGCTTATTAAAAATTCTCCATTTTACAACGAAACCTAACTTAACAATTACTACATCGACAGTTTTTATTGATTTCTGAACATCAGATATTTCTATGGCCAGTTTTTCCTAACAATTTAGTAATCCACTTATTTATTAGTTTACTTCCGAATAACCTTTCTTTTCAGTATAGCCTCGGTAATTGTCACTGTTTCATCAAACTACCTTACCATTATCATCATTCCTTTGCTGCTTAGTAGTTTTCAGCATTTGTTGTTCGTGCTACTGTGTCAAGCCCACATGGCTTATTCCAGATTTTGGACAAACAAAGCATTATCTACATGTATCCTTGTCAGTTATTCACTTATAACCTTGACCGTTTTTATGTGTGTGTATATCACTTACTCTATTTATCGAATATCTTTGGCTTACGTTTGTTTGACTATAATTAGTTAGTCACACCTTATCAAATGAAGTTAATCAGCCTTCCTTCTCCTCTTCACTTTTCTATTTCTCATTCCAATGTCGGTCTGTATGAACGAGTACATGAAATAAAGCAATCCCATTTAATCTGTATTTCACTTCACATTACCGTCATCCCCTACATTGGTTAAGCACAGGTATAATATGAAGAAAGGAACAGAAAATTTATTGTCATGGTATACCTAATCACTCATTAAAACTGAAATCAGTTCTCTGGTCACTAAACATTCATGTAATGTTAACGACTACAAGTTAATTTCTTGTTTTTTGCTCAAGAAAATATATATTATCAATATTTACAATTAGCAATACATAATGTTACAACGCCTGTTTCTAATTAGGTCAAAAATAATTATTTCGGTTCTATTGTTAAAATAACTCATGATTATTATCATTGGTATTCATTGTTTAAAATTTCCTTTTGTTTTACTATTCTAATTTAAAGTGTAATGATGCATAAAAATGAATTTAAACTAATACCGGTATTAATATTTGCTAGAAATGATGATACTAATGTTTTAAAACAGTTTATGTCCGTTTAATAGAAACGGATGTTGTTGTAGAATAACTTGTGAAATTTAAAAGCAATTTTCAATATAAAAAAAACATAGGAAAAGTGTTGAAAACAAGAATTGCGAAACCATGGCTGTGAAACACTTCTGTTAGTGATTTCACTGCTTTCTAATTGTTGTCAAGCGGATGTCATAGTTTATAGGAGAAGTCCCCTCCAAATTATTTTATTTTACGGTAGATTAACAATATGGGCATGGAATACTTCTGAATCGAGTCTATTCTGCGTTTCGTCGATCTTACCTGTATATATATATATATATATATATATATATATATATATATATATATATATATATATATATATATATATATATATTGATGTAGAGAGGAATAATAAATTATGTTACATGGATTTAGGCGATCACCATGAAACTATAGACAAATATGCAATTTTTCTCCGTGTACTAAGGCATATCTGTAATCTTGAGTAAACGTTTGCCCTTATAGAACTTCGGAGGTTGTAATCAGCCATATGACTGCTGCACTGGTTAGACCGTAACCCACCCTTCTTGATTAAAGAACTCAGATGTTGACATTAATCACAGTTATTGAGTAACAATTAATCTAATATTATCAATCAACATGTAACTTTTGTGTTGAAACAATCGATGATATTACAATAAACAAGAACTAAATGAGTGAAATTTTATGAGATATCTAATATATTCTTAACATATCAATAATCAGAGCTCAATATTCAAAGAAATGTAATACATAAATATAGTCTGTTAAATTGTAAGCTTCAGTTAAAACACTTTTTTAAAGCCCTAACCGTCGAACTCAAGTTAAGTAAAGAACATTCCTTTAAAATGAATGTGTATCAGATTCTCCAGTTATATGATCAAAATTTATGTTCGTAACTCAAATTCAATTTAAAAAGTAAATATTACCTTTCAAAATCACATCATATGAATTTAGAATTATTATTATTATTACTATAACAGAATAAAATTACTAATGCTGAAATGTTTTAATAGGCAATGTGAACTTGTTGTTTAAAGTGTGAATTATTTTTTATGTATACGTATATTTTAAAATAGCCCAAATTACATCTGTTTTGTCAATCTGTTGAGTAAATTCTATGAAAAAAAAGAATTCTTCTTACTCTTCTTCTGCTTCAAAATACCACAATCCTTATAAAATAGCATTCTAATTTTCATCATCTGCTTTTTAAATGTACCATAATTATTAATTCATCTATTCTGCCCTTAACAAAACTAAAAGGAAACTATTGAATAATACTTAGTTGAAGCTCTGATAGAATAATATTTTAGATGAAATGGTACATTACTCTAAATGAAATATTCGAAAATTCTTATTGATTTTTTCTCAAAGTAGTGAACAATAATTGTTGTAGTTTATTTCTATAAATTAATTGATGACCCGATTAAGAGTAATTATCTTCTTTTAGTGATTTCGTTTTTGCATAACTTTTGAACCAAAAAAACCTGCTTTTCTATCATGTAATAAGTGTCTGGATTTTCCGTAGTCATTTTATTGTCTAGAAGAAAACTTGTCTTATGATTTCCAATGATTATAATTTCTAACTGATGACAAAAACATATTGACTAGTTGAAGAAAAATAACAGTTAGAATGTCATAACATATATGACAAATCACTAAATAGATATTTCATCCTAGCCTATATGCATTCAAAATCTTTGCACAGGACGAATTTCAGAGTCTTATGGATTCCTATTGTTAAAGGTATAAAACACACAAGGAAACCTAAAAGTCTTGGGTTTTGACTCTTTGTACCCAGTTGTGTTGGACCTTTGAAGTACTTCCTAGTTTTGAGTGAATCACTCAGTAATATTATTCCGATTTGAAAATTAACTAACTTCAAAGTGAAAACTAGTTACATAGATAAAAAGCACGGGTAATATTTTCCATGTACTCGTCTATGATTTCATATCATCCTATTTAGCAGTATATTTTCTTGCAGTATAATTCCTTGTATTACTACAAGGAAAAGTGTTTTCTTTTATCTTTCACATTACATCTCACTAGTACGAATGGGAGTGATAAATAGTTTTTAGTTTATTTCATATATCTAAATCAATCAGATTCTTCATCATAATTGAATTATTTGTACACTTTAATTATTTCTTACCTAATACGATATTTTGGAATATAACATAATATTTATACCTCATGGTTTTCTTGTATCAAAAGAAAAGACTTGTTGATTAAAAGAAGCCAAGCTTAGGCGAACTCTTTGTAAGTGTAAGGTGAAGTAAAAAATTATCGATCGAATGACTGTAAATTATTTTAAAAGATGTATTGCCAAAAACTGTTTTCTACAGACTTGTAACGAAAATTAAAGCTTATTACTAAGTCAAATAAAAAAGTAATTTATGAAATTATCTGTTATTTTTTTATGAACGAATCTATTATATAGGGGAAGAATACATTATACAGAAATGTATGAAATGTTAAGAAAGTTGGAACCTCCAGTTGGATTTGGCCAAAACTGTCCATACAGATTAGCCTATAAAGTAAGTTTAAACGGCAATTATTTTAAAAGTTAATAGTCTTTAATATTACTACTACTATTATTGATAGTAGTATGAATATCAAATAGAAGAAATTTACAAGGGTGAATCGATACTAACAGATGTCAGTCTGACCTGAAATCAGTCGTTAGGATTTTAAATTACCATGAGTCATAGAATATATAGAAAATACTTACATCTTTAAATGCTCTAATCATAATTCTTAATCGTGATGTTTTAGAACTGATACTATTTGAAAAGAAAATTATGAAGAATTTCTTCGTTGAAGAACGCATTTCATCTTTACTCAAAACCATTCCGTAAAACATTCAGATCAACCATTTCATGTCTTGTAATGATTAGTATATTCCATACTGAGTAGAAATCTGGTGATTCATATTTTGCACTCATCAGATACTCTCTCTAAACCAGTGTTTCCCTTTCAACCTGGTTGATGTTGTCGAGGTTCTTAAGAAGATGTTGAGGAAAGGTTACAAGTCAAATTAAACAGCGGAATGTAGACCTCATCGATTTACCATGTTTCTCTAACTGTTATTAGTTTACAATATAGATTTATCTTCGATTAGATATTTAATGTGATACAATAACATGATATAAATTATATTAGAACAGCATTCCTTGTTTCTCTAGTTAAAATTATTACGATTGTGAAAACTAACTTCAGCTACAAAATCTAATTATCGTACAAGAATTCCTCAGTAAAAATAGATTATACATTCTGAATGTTTCTACTGACCAAACAGAAATTTGTTTCAATGGCCTCACAGTAATTTGCACTAGTGTAATCCTTAAAAAAAAAAAGAAATTCGTCTAATCAGTTGGTGTTTTAGCAAAGAGATGAATTTTACTAATACTGACAAGGAAAGTAATTTGTTTGTATAATTAATAAGTGCATGTTTACTATACTATGGTATTTTTCTATCATTACTATTACTATATTCAACGGATAATATAATGTATGAAAGTGGATGTGATTACATTCCAGCTAGAAAAATCTTAGCAATCCAGACTTTTGTAGCAAATTGAACCCAATATTTTCAAATCTCGTTAGGACGTCAACCTGTCATAGGAAACCTTGATTTGTAAAGTCGACCATATGCTGAGTAAAGCGATTGAAATAAGTTGACTTAGTTACGTCTATAATCTTAATAAATGTTTTAGATTTACACTGGGGGCTGAGTACAGTTATACAACCACTGAAAAGTAGGGATAATTGAACAGTTATTTTATTTTGTTAAGAAACTCCTTAACAATGAATGTTCACAACCCTCTGGAGATTGAAGTAACGCCTCACAGTAGGCACTTGACATATATATATATATATATATATATATATATATATATATATATATTCGATTACACTGAACTAATTATTACGTATATTATCATTAATTTTTATTCCATTCATATAGAAATTAATCCGAATGAATATGCCATTAGATAGTGCAGGAACTGTACATTTCACAACAACACTGTTTGCTTTAGTCCGAGAATCACTAGGTATTAAAATGGCTCCAGCCGAATTTATGGATATTAAAGATGCTGAATTACGTGAAACTATTAGAACACTATGGCCTGTACAAGCAAAACGATCTTTGGATTTATTATTGCCGCCAGATTCAGGTGAATTAAAATTACTTTGATATTAATGCTTTTGTAGGTAAATCACCTATATGTATGTACCGCAAACTAATTTTGTAAAAACTTCATTAGGTAAAATTTCGAGTGATTTGAAAACTACATTAGATAACTGCTATTTCTGCCCACTAGATACAGATATCTGTGACGTTTTGTTGTCACCGATAGTCAAAATAGTACTAAGGCAGGGGCACTGAGACTACACGGAGAGAACAATGCAGATGAAGAGTTTGACTTCTAAGGACTTCCAAGGATGTTTCGAATAATGGGAATGTAGATGTGATAAGTCTACCATAACGTAAGGGAAGTTTATTTAATTCGGTATACCTGTAAAATGACAATCATCAAATAAAACGATTTTAGCATCACCAACAACTGGTTTCGAGCATATAGAAGAGCGACAAATACGTGAAATAAGAATTCCATCTCCTTGAGAAAACTGATTTCAATAAGTCCCATGGGACTTAAAACCATGTAAGAACCTATGAAACATAGGATCAAGAATAATTGTCGAAGTAATTTTTAGACATGTTATGTTTGAAGTTGATATACTACGCTATTACGGTCCCAGCTAAACTGTTGATTCATGAAGGGAACTGTTTTGTCTTTTTGCCTAATGCTATCACTGAAAATCGAGCCCATGGACTATCAGTTTTCTACTAGTCTGTCAGCAGCTCAATTCTGTTCAGAACACCATCCATACGGTTTTATCGCAACTCGGTTTGAGAAGGAAGTCAAAGATATCAAATGAAGATTTATGAAATGGAGCGCATGTGATTCTTTCTAACTTTTGTACACTCAGTTTCAAAATAGTATTGTTATAGAGAGAGGGATAAAGATATTTACAGAAGAATCAATTAACGGTTATAAAGATCTCTAAAATATATTGGCTGTCCACAGAAATGTATTAATAAATATAGAAAAATTATGAATGAAAGCATTCTAGCGAAACTACGGTAAACGGAAAATCTATTTCCAGTCTTAACTGGTTGACGCCTATTCCTGCTAAACTTCATAATCAATAACTTATGTCTTGCTATTTATCGAGCAATGGATTTATTTTTAACTATATGATCCGTTAGTAATCCGATATTTTTATAATCTTTCGCACGTGATATTGATTTGCAGCATCTTTTCAGTTTTACTAACTTCACTTGAGTATTTGATCTACCACGATAACAAGTATTTATTTCTAATCAACTTCACTTGTTAAGTTCTATGTAAAGTTTTGATTTTAAAATATTCAAAGTTGCCAGCAGTTGATGAGAACATAGATAAGTAAAATGAATTCATGTTATCCTAGTCAAAGCTTGTTCCATGCTCACCCCATATGTTGGGTCGATCAATGGTTACATTTAGTAGATTATAACTTGTAGTATAACTTAAGTTATGAGAATAATATTGAATGTCATACCAAATTAGTTTGTAACATAGTCGAAAGTCAGACACTAAGTCATCATAATACCAACTTCAGATCCAGCAAAAATAATTGAATCATAAAATCTAATGGGAATTTCTATCAAGTATATGCGACCCTGTGTTATGGAATTCCAACTGGCGATTAAGCAATGATATCAGTCATCAGCATTTCGATTACATGTCCACGTTGGTGACTGATCCGTCAGTACTGTTGATAGTTAAGAATCTAAGTATTATTACACGTTGTACATATTTTTCTGTAGGGTATGCTGTTAACCAAAATATCAGAAAAACATAGGTTTCTACATGCAAATATAATATTCGGTTGTGTACCAGTAAGTATACAACTCTCTATTTTTTAGTATTAAGTGTATTGTGTACAATTATCTGATCTAGTAGTCATAACATACAAATCTATCAACGAATCTCTATCAGTAATTCAGACCCAAAACACGTGAATATTCACAATTTATTGATATACATTAAGATGTAATATAAATGGTTATAAATTCTGAAAAAATTACTCACTCTAGTACTTTTGTTCAATTTATTGCAGAATATACATTCACCCGTCTTACTGTTGGGAAAATCTATGCCGGATTATTGATTTATGAAAATTGGCAAATGAATAAATCCAGCGATAATAAAAAGAATCTGCATCAGTTGAATACTGTAAGGTTTTATTTGCCAATATACACTATAATATTTATGAAATTTCAAAGATGGTATCTGAAATTTTATTTTTAACAGTTAAGCTGTACTTTAGTGGCTTAATATTACACTGATGGTGAGTGGTTGTGAATAGTTAGCAAGTGGTGCTGTTCTTAAATATCTTGCTGGTTGATACATCTTAGCAATCATGAAAGGATTGATGTTTTTATGGAGATAGATGTTACTTACCGTGTCAACCAAACATTTACTGCATGGCAATGTGGACTACAACCGACCTTCCATAAGAAGAATGTAAACACGGTTTGATAATGGTATAGCTCTGTCATTTTGCTTTGTTCAACCAACTAACTTGGATATTAACACCAAGTAAATTAGTATAACAACCACATTTGAAACAAGACGTATACAATTTGATCAGCCCTTGAGTTTGAACAAAATGACATTGCTTACTACTGAAATGTCGATTAGTGAAATTTTTAAAATTTCATTTATTTATTTAGTTGAATTATAAATATCAGTTCATCTTCAGCATTAATTAGAAACGTTAGAATCATTATAAAACAATACCATGAACAAATATACCAGCAGTGACGCGTTTTAGTGCATTAGTGTTTTATTTTCATAGACTGATACATAAGCCTATGTCAGTTCAGGTTGATGTTCACTACTACCATCCTGAATAGTTTGTTTTTCACATTTGTGTTTCTTGTTCACCTTCGTTCAAATATTCCTTTGGTTTGCAATCGAGTTTGTTTTACATACAGAATAAACTGACCCACTTGAAACTGTTATTGTGCTGTACCCGAGATATATATATATATATATATATATATATATATATATATATATTCATTTATATATACACACTCCTCGCCCTTGGAAAGTGAATACATCTCTAAACCGATGGAATACACTCGTCTATTAGGACATCTGTGATGGTCATCAAATACCACTTCTGATTGTCTCCCTATATCAAAATCACAACTATCTATTCACTTATTTTGAGATCTTTTTATCGGTATAGTTCTTAAAACTCGACACAAAATCATAATACTTCATAGTGTATTACTGAAGCATTAATAAACTGAGTCTGCCACTAAAATATATCACATAGGAAGTTTAGTGATCGCAAACAACCTGTTATTAACGTTAAAAGGAATTAGTCAGACAATAAAATTAAAATGCAAAAAACCGTCAAACGAACTCTAATCAATTAATAAAAAATATCATATTCAAATATTTGTTAAAGAACCTTGATAAGAAATTCACTATATACACTATACAAAAACATGAGAAATAACACCGTCAAGTTAATAACTAGGTTACACCACAGGGTTAAATTAAAATCTTTACTCTTTAAATTAGAATAGGTTAATTGATACAATACAAAAATGAACATTTATTTATTATCAATCAGTAATCTAAGCCTCAGGAATGACTTTTAGCTACATGTAGTGCATGATGTCTAATTATAATACCTGATTGCCTAGACTGAAATAGATGGAGTAGAATTAAAGTATGTAACTAAAGTGTTTTAATCATGGGAGCGATTAACTCATACAAGTAAAATCAATAAAGATTTGGAAAAATATCACCGTCAAATTAAATCCCATACTATAATTTGAAATTGTAACAATACTAACTAATTAATATGCTTTTTTCAATGTTTATCAAACAAACTGATATTTTTATTTCAGAAGCCTATACTTGAAGCATGCTTAACTCAAATGTTAGGACATGAGTAAGTTCAACTTAATCTATCCCCTTTTTTATTTCATATTAATTTAAATGGAAAATTGGTAAAGGTTGTTCAATTCACAGAAAGTTCAAATCACAAACTGAGAAATCTCATACTTAGTTGAAATGCCTATTTTTAGTGACTTAGTTTTTAGTAAACTGATTTTAACATAGATTAAACAGAGAATACCTATTTATGTATAACAAGCGTAATGAATTACGCTCCTAATTCCAAATCTGTGTTTAAATCAAAACGATCATGTTTGCTGACAAATCTGTTATCCAAAAATACTTATTTTAAAAGTATGTAATAATTTCTCACAGTTCATAGATCTTAACTAGTATCAAAATATAAAA